TTTTGTTTGAAAAAAGAGAGAGGTCAATAAAAAAGCTAATAGTTAGTTCTTTCTAGGACATTTTAAATTTTCCTTCATATTTTTTTATCTTTGATTTCACAAAAATTTGTTTCTAACTAACAGTCTTTCACAAAGAAAATTGTGCAAACAAAATCTCAGTCTAAGTAAGTTCTTGTTCCAAATTTTTTTATGCTAGTAATTGTCTTAAAAAGAAAATATTTACGGATTTATAAATCACAAAAGAAAATTAAATACAATAATATTACAAGATAAATTAACACTACTATTTCTATAGTAAAAATATTATCTATTAATAAAATTTATTTCTATAGTATAAAATACTATCTATTAATAATATATATATAGGGAGAATTACCGGAAAAACCTTCTAAAAGAATTTTTTATCTAAAAAATCTATCAATTTTTTTTAAATCTCTTAAATTCAAAATAATATTTTTCTTATCAAAACACTCAACAATTATCTATGTGTGTCTATGTGTGCGTACGTGTGTGTGTGTGTGTGTGTTTTGTTGATGGTCATCTTCAAATTTTATATTCTTACTTATTAGACTAAAAAATTCTTTATGTAGGAGCTTTATTTCTTTTTTGTCAACTATTTGTCATATCAACTAAGGAATTAGTTGTATTACTTAATAGTTGTAGAAGCTGATGCAATTCAATTAATTAATATTGATAAATTATTCTCTTGTAATTTAATACATGGGGTATGATACCAAAAAATAAAAAAAGAATATATATGATTATGAAAATTAATAATCTCTTAAATACTAATATATTGATAGCAAAAAAAAAAAAAAAAAAATAGCATCAATAATACTAGTGTTTAATTAATCAAAATTTAATACTTTTTATTAGGTAATTAAATTAAATTACGTGATGAATATATAATATATTTTGGTGCATTAATTAAATAAGATATGAGCATTCATAATAGAATACATATCTCGGAGTACAATGATTTCTATTTAAGTTAGGGACAATTACCAAAAAAAAATTCTAAAAAAATCTTCCTTCCAAAATCTCACTTATTTATTATTATTTCTTTCAAATCTAAAATAATATTTATCTTAGCAAAAAACTCCATTGTTATAACTAATGCTAAGTAAATGATTAAGTACTCGGGTATTTTCGTAAAAAAAATATTATTTTAAAAGTGAAAGATTTGAAAATAAATTAATAGATCTTTTAGACAAAAGACTTTATAAAAATAAAATCTAATAATCATCGCATATTAATATTTTTGATAACCAAACAGGTCCGAAACCAATGAACTTAGTTTCATGAAACTACTCAATATGCAATAAATAAAGGAAAAGAAAGATAAAAATAATGCATACATTTGAGAGTACAAAATCATCATCATACTTTTCTCTTAAACCACACAAAAATGGGTGCATTCAATTCACTAGATGGTGTTACCAATGAAATGAAAATGATTATAATTTCTTTTCTTAACAGAATTTAAATACAAAGTCATCCTTTCCCAAGACTTATTTGATAATAGAAATTGATAATTATTTAAAATTATGTATGAAAATGAACGTTTCATCCAATTTCATATATATATTAGCCATAATTATCAATGGATGGACCATTGAAAATAAAAAAACTCTAATTGAAAAGTTATATATATATATTAAAAAGTAAAGGATAAATATATTTTTGAATCAAATGGCAGATCAACTGAAATAATGTATATCTTTTTTTGAACAATTTTAATTATACATTCTATATTTATATGATATATTCTGCATTAAGATGATACCTTCAATTTTTTTTAATAAATTAAAAATCGAAGGATAAATATATTTTTGAATCAATTGGCATATCAACTCAAATAATGTATATCTTTTTTCGAACAATTTTAACGGCACATTCCATATTTATATGGTACATTCCGCATTAGTACGATACCTTCAACCTTTTTTTTTAATAAATTTACAATATGCTGAACCCACTGCATTAATATAAAGTTTTCTTCTTCTTCTTCTTCTTCTTCTTCTTCTTTTCCTTTTTTTTTTTTTTTTTTTTTTATTTTTTACTCTGCTCTCAAATTTCTCACCAACAAAATATATCGTTGCATCGTGTCCCTTTTCCTCTTTATATAGATCCTCTCTCTCTAATATTTTCTACTCCTCAACCTTCACCAATTCTCTCCTCTCTCTCTCTCTTCAGAACTGTTTTCGCATGCGATTCGACTCGGTAATTTCTCATTCTTTCTCTCCATAAAGAAGTTTGTTTATATTTTCTTGGGTTATCTTAATTTTGATTAAGAGAGAATTCCTTTTAATTTATTCGAAGAATTTATTTTCTCTGGGGTTTTTGATCTCATTTGATGTAAGTCCTGGTTAGGTTTACGTTTCTTGTAAATGCAGAATGCTGTGTATAAAGAGTTACTGGTTTAGTTATGGTTAGCTGTGGAATTTTTAGGGGCTGTAGCCTCTAATTCTTGTGCCCTAGATTTATGTCATTTACTAGAGAATGAAATCTATTTTAAATTTGTTTATCAAAGTCTGTTTGGTGTTTGAATTTGTGTTTTTTAGAGATTTGGATATGGCAATGTTAATGCATGTATAATCACGGAAATGATTTGGGTTTTATATCCAGAATTTCTGAGTTGGACTTTCTTCGGACCTGTTCAGCATGTAGAAAAAATCTTACTCTAATGGTTGACCCCAACGCTACATGTCAGGTTTCTGTTAGATTTTTGTTGATGACTACCCAAGGCAGAAATTTTAAGGTGTTATTTGGTTCACAGAACTTGACTATTTGGAGTCACTCTCCGGGAAACGTGGTACCATGGAAAGAGATCCATAGAAGGATAAAAATTTTGTTTTTGGTTGGCAATAGAGAATTCCTAAGAAAGTGTTCCTTTTGGTTGGAATCGTAACCTGTTCATAATAATCCTTGGACTACCACTTTCTCCTATTCACTTTCTTCCCCAATTCCAGGAACCAAACGCCACTTAAACCAAATCATACAGGACAGTTTTGATTTCTGTCTGGCAATTATTTTGTGTGCTTTCTCTCATAAAATCTTCTTTCATCGTTTATTCATCATTGGACGATATTACTGTAAAGTGATTGAGTCCTTTTTCATTCATTCATTGATAACCATTTAGCTAATTTTAATTTCTCATACTAGTTTTCTAAATACTAATGTGATTTCAGAGGCTAACTGGGGAATATTTTGTGTGGCTTAGTAACAACATGGAAGCTGTTTACATTTATTTATGTGAAGTCTATTTAGTGATTTCAATTGCATGTGGAATGCTTAGATATGGGAATGTTAAACCACTTGTAATCACGGAGATGTTTAGGGTTCTACGACTGGTCCCTCTTTGGATCATTTCTGTGTCAAAAAAAAAAAAAAAAAAAAAAAAAAAACTTATTCTAATGATTGTGGCAATTTCATATACCAAAAATTTCTTGTTAGATTTTTGTGGACAACATACCGAAGATGGAAACTTTAAATGAGGTGAAGCAGGGCAGATTTGAGTTTCTGTCCAGCAATTACTTTATGGTGATTTCTGCTTATGTAGAATCTTGTTTTCATGGTTCTCTTCATCAGTGGATGATAGTGCTATAAAGTGTGTACGGCTTTCTTTTGTGTACAGCTTTTCTTTTGCATTCATTCATCAATAACTGTGAAGGTTAGTTTAATAACTCGTACTGTATTCTGAGTTCCAGTATGATTTCAGAGGTTAAATCACTGGAGCATATAAATGACACATGATAAACCAACGGGGGATGTGCTACATTCTTTATTGATAACATTCCTAGGTGGAACCAGGAAACTGGTTGAATCCTGGTAGGTACGACTTTAGGTTCAACAAGTATATTTTGGTGGCATAGGGCCTGGAAAAATCAAGGATTTGAGTGTTTAAAGCAAAGAAAAAATGCATTTTGGGTGTTTTAAATTGGAATTGGGGACAAATGTGGATGTTTAAGGGATTAACTGTGCCTTTTAAGTGGCTGGCATAATCAGGTCTGATCAGTTGAATTCTGGGACAGCAACTTAGGATTGAAGATATAAAGAAGGGTGTCTGAGAATCACAGACAGAAGAAAACCTAAACCATTGAACTTTAGGGTTCTTAGTACATATATCTAAGATTGATTCGATCACTTATGAACATAATTGGTGAAATAACACATTCTATTTAATGGAAGGCTCTATCGCTGCATATTGATTTTCTATTATTCCAAGTGCGATATGGTCTTACACTCCTGCACAAGTAAATACTATTATTCTTATTTAGAATAGGGAAAGAATCTAAACAGCTACCATTTATCCAAAGGCTAATAAAATATACTAGAATGATAAATTTCCAGCAAATTTAGAAATCACAGAAATACCCTGTAGAAAAGTTACCTTTCAGTTGTAGTCATTTGCAGAACTGAATAAAAAATATAAAATTTTAGTATCTCTGGTTTGTCTACATGATGTAGTACATTCTTTTTTTCTTAATTGTTAGCTCATAGATTCCTTAATGGATATTATTAATTCTTCCTTGTTTGTTATAATTTTCAAGCCCTCTGCAAGTTTTAGGGTTCTTCAACCGTAGCTATGGCCCTTTTTTTATTTTTTTGAAAAATATTTGTTGTCAGTGCTTTGCTATTTAGGTTCTGCTTGGTCCATTGCATGGTATATGGTACAAGTCTTGTACTTGCAACGATAAGGTTGTGTGTTTGAGTCTTCAGAACAGCCACTTCATGCAAAATAGATGACTGGTAGACTATAATTTGGCAATGGCATTTATTAGTTATTCTTTGCATTAGTTATTAGGTACTTCTGTTGGAATGCTTCCTCACTGACACAAAAGTGAGACCCAGCATGTTAACTATGCGTGGGTCCCACTTTTATGAGTGATGAAATACACTGGGAGTACCTAATAATTTCTCTTGCATTTGTCTGTCGCTAAGTTATTCCTTTTGCAGCTTGAAAACTATGAATTGGATCCAATTGTAGCTGCCAAAGAATGGTATCTTTCTTTCCACATTCTAGTTTCGTGTTAATTCATTTTTTATTTTGCCTTTTTCTTGCATTGCCTACAATTTGTATTTCTTGACAACCTTTTTGTGTTTGACTAGTCAATAGAAAAGTAAACTGTAAGGGCCTGTTTGGTTGTAGAGCATAGTTTTTCAATTTCTATCTGCAATTTTCTTTTTTGTATATTGTTTTCATTTTCTTTAGAGAATGTAGAAAATGTATTCATTTGGTGAATGTGAAAAACTTTTTTTCCACTTTGGGAATTAAACATGTCCAGACACTTTTTTTTTGCTAAGTTTTTACTCATATATAGTTGTTTATTTAAATTTTTTTTATAGTTTTTCTTTCTTATAATTTGGATAAAAAAATTTATTTATAATATTTAATTTTGATATATTTTCATGATATTTACTACATGAGATAAACAAGTGATATTGTTCATAATATTGTAGTTATTTTCTTCATCAACAACATAAATAAAGACATAACAGATAGAAACATATAATGAAATGGATTAGAGAAAAGGCAATGAAACTTCTATGAAAATAAAATCTGCATATAGTACAGGTATAGAAAGTGGTATAAATAACAATGAATGTTTTTGTCACCTAGAAAAGGAAACACGTGTTCTCTATAAACATGTAAAAAACATTTATGGGAGAAACTTGAAAAATATCTAAAAGATATTTTCAAAACTAGTTGTAAGCTGGAGAATTGGAAAAACGTGTTTTCCAGTTCTCTAAATGAAAAAGATACCATATTTGAGCACAAAATCCTATTTCCATTTTCTGTGGAGATATTTTTCTAGAAAAGAGAATTATTCTCTACATTTGAACACGACCTACATGTTTTCATACCTATTCTAGTTTCATTTATGTTGGTGTTTGCATGTGTATATTTATGGATAAATTTGTGCAGGATGATGATTCTTTACGTGGAGATGATGATTTTGACTGGGACAGTGAAGATGAGAAGGAAATTGAGAATTTTGCTTCATCTTCTTCATCAAGTCTGAGACTTCCTCATGTAGAAACTGGGTCAAGCTCAGCAGAGGTGAGTGCCTTTTTTTTTCAGTTGGGATTTCTTTGTCATTTTCTGTCTTGTGTGCGGGTCAAATGGGAAGATTACATTGAAGTTATTGCAATATCGAAAATTTTATGTTTGATTTTGAAAAATTGGTGCATGCTGGTTAACATTATGTTTCTTTTCATTGAAGAATTATTTGGTTATATCTCTATTTCATTTGTCAAATGCTCTTATGGATCGAATCTTCCCTTTTTTAATTGAATTGATTGATTGTATATTTGGTCTGTGTACTCTTTTACATTTTCTTAATGTTGTCCACCCTCCTCTCTTTTCTTATTTAGTTGGGCCCTGTGCTCAAGAAAATTTCTTAATGTGGTCCCTCTGTCCAACTTCCATCCTATTTACCTTTAATTATTGACACGTGTTCACTTTTATGACATGTTGTCAAGAATTAATGGTAAATTCGGTGGTACCACATTCAGAAATTATCTAGAGTCGAGGGACCACATTCAGAAATTTTCTAGAGTAGAGGGACCAACTAAATAAAAAATGGAGTAGATGGGTCACATGGAGAAAATGTACATGGACCAAATATGTGCTTGATCCTTAGGTGAATACTGGTTGATTGTTTTGTGTTGCTTACAATTTTTTCATTTACTTGTACGAATTTCACACTCATGCATGTTATGAGAAACCATGCAATCCAACTTGCCTCACGTACATCTTACAGAATCTCAATTCCCACAAATTGCTGTTTTCTGTGGAGGAATATGCTCTCAAAAAATCATGCACCTACTTTTTTAGATATCTAGTTAGTCTTTCACTTGTGCAATGATGTTGCATGGAAATTGCTTGTGTTTTGAGACACATGTGTGTATGTGTTTACTTAGCTTATGTAGACAATGTAGGCACTCATTGCATAACTAACATGCAATTTCTTTGTTGCCTCAAGGCAAGCTCATCTGTAGGTTCATCTTCTGGTTGCAAAATGATCAATCATTTTGTAAAAATGGGGTTTCCTGAAAAAATGGTCGCCGAAGCAATTCAGGAAAATTGTAAAGGTTCTCTGCTGTTTCAATCTGAAAGTAAATATACATGTTAGTATTATGCGTGCACATACATATATACCCTTCTCTCTCCATCAAAGGTTTCATTTATAACTCTTCTTAGTTAATTATTCAGGAGAGGAAGATGAAGATTCAATACTTGAAACGCTTCTCAAGTACTCGGTGAGTCTCATCTTGAATCTTCATAATTGCTTGTCATTTATTTTAAATATATGTTGATCGTGAGGTGATCAAAAGGTGGACATTTATTGCATGCTGACACAATTTTCCTTTTTTTCTTTTTGGGTTGATACTGACAATTAATTTCCATTTCCCACATGAAGACAAGATCATCTGCAAGCTCTTCTGGCTCCAAATTATTTCATCGTTTTGTAGGGATGGGGTTTGCAGAGAAAATGGTTGCCAAAGCAATTCAGGAAAATGGTAAAGGTTCTTTCTTTGTTTAACCTACAATTTTATCATAAAGGTCCATCTATTTCTATACTTTGCTATATTTTCAGGAGAGAAAGATGCTGATTCAATTTTGGAAACCCTCCTCACATATGCAGTAAGTTAATGTCAACCTATTTCTAAAGGTCACTCATCTTTGTTATTGCCACTTCAGTTGCCTTGTTTATTAGTTAAGCTAGAATGTGATGTTCCAATATCTAATATATCCAAACCACAAGGGTACTTTCCCCTAGAGGCAAGAAATCACTTTGTCGCAAGGTACATGTTACTAATTCAGTTGGCTATAGCTATATAAAATCAGTGGCTATCAGTTATTTCAATTAAGAAGCTAGCTATCCATTATATGCTACCTACCTACCATGTGGAATTTATCATATAATCATGCTTAAAATTTTAAGAAATCCTACATGGCTACTTTGTCAGAATATCAAAGCAGGGCTGTTAGCATTTAGCTAGTATACTTCGTTGCATATAATTAGCATAGCAGTAATGGAATTATAAGTGTAACAAGTTCACAAGTATCTCCAACTTGTGTGGAAGTGTTCTCATTAATGGCCTTTGCTATCAGACCAATTACATGAACTTGATCATCTCAATTAATGGTCTATCACTCTATCTACTTTGAAGATATTGCTGAGTAAATCTATGAACTATATCCATATGATCACTTGAATTAACCACTGCCTCTTTTTGGCTGCTACCTTAGTCATTTTAAAACCTTTTCGGTCACCTATTTCTTGCAGGCAATTGGAAAATCTGCTCGAGAACAGCCTAACAATGAATCTGATCATTGCTCCTCGGGACATGAAGGGGGCTTTCTGGATGACTTTTCAGATATAGATAGTGCTGACAGTGAGGTAGCTAATCTCTTTGGCTACTTTGAGTACTTAGTTGGTTATTATATATGGATTCAATGTATATCCTATCTGACACATCATCTTTTAGATATGTGAGAACCACTAGAAATGCTTCTGGGTTTCGTAGCACTGTTTGTTTCCTAGCTGCAAAGACAGCTTATAGTCTGCAAATTTCTGAAGATGTGTGGCTGCAGATACATGCCTCTTTGTATATGATCGGATACTAAAATCTTGGTTATTGGAACTGTATGCATGCATGCCCCTATCAAAACACATACATGATTGTATATAAGTTTGTTTCAGGCTTATGAGTAAATATTGTATTTTTTTCATTAGCATACGTGAAATTTTACTGTCAGGCACATACAAGTTTTAGTGTTCTTATTGATTTATCTGCAGGTAATTATGAAGACTGTTTCTGATGAGGATAATAAATTATCCTTCTTAAGAAGGATGGGCTACAAAGAGGCAGATGCTTCAATAGCCATAAGTAGATGCGGTATGTACTGTAACTTGTGGCAAATTTGTACTGGCTTGGCATGTTTCACTGCCTGAAATATGGAAGTAATTGCTTTTGGTTTAAATCTTATTGTCAATGATGTTGTTATGATCTGTGAATAGTCATGCTGTGATTTTACATGCAGATTTTCCACATCCACCTTGCTTCTCTGCTTTTTTGACCCCATGTTATATGATGTGCATTGGTTGGACAAGTTTGAGTTTCTGTGGTCCTCATCTGAGGATTTAATAGTTTGATTTCTTGGTCAACTCGTCTTAACTTTATTTGATCAGCATGGGATGATGAGAGTTGATGTGCTGCTTCTGTTGCTAGTTTTCTGATATGGAACTTTTGGAGCACATATGGATTTCTGTCCTTTTGTAAAATGTGTGGCCTAGTTGATGTGTGCCTCCGTCATATGTTGCAGGACCAGAAGCCACAATTTCAGAGCTGGCAGATTTCATTTGTGCAGCTCAAATAGCGAAGGCAGAGGATGTTTTCTTCGCTGAAGATGAGGTAGTTTGCTTGCTTTTATTACAAAATTAAATGCATGGTGCTTTAAATTGTTGATATGGGTTTAGTTTTATGTATTTGTCAACATGCATTTGTGGTTCAAAAAAATGTTTGTTCTTTCTTTTACTTCTATGTTTACAATGTCCACAGTATCTCACTTTTTACCTATTATTTTTGCAGAAAAAGCCCAAGCAATTGAACAAACAGAAAAAGAGGAGTTTTTTGGAGTGTGATGTATTGGAAAAGAAAAGGCCGAGGGGGTTGGAGAACGGAGATGATGAGGCAATTCGGCTCCCAAATCCAATGGTTGGGTTTGGGGTGCCTACAGAACCAGGAATTCTTACTCATAGAACACTTTCAGAGGCTGCCACTGGGCCCCCCTTTTTTATTATGAAAATGTAGCAATGGCTCCAAAAGGGGTTTGGCAGACAATTTCAAGGTTTTTGTACGATGTGGAACCAGAATTTGTGGATTCCAAGTACTTTTGTGCTGCAGCAAGGAAAAGGGGCTACGTTCACAATCTTCCCATTCATAACAGATTTCCTCTTCTTCCGCTTCATCCACACACAATACATGAAGCTCTTCCCTTAACAAGGAAATGGTGGCCTGCATGGGATATGAGAACAAAACTGAATTGCTTACAGACTTGCATTGCGAGTGCAAAGCTCACAGAGAGGATACGGAAGGCTCTTGAAGCTTATGAAGGGGAGCCCCCTTTGGCGGTCCAGAAGTTTGTGTTGGAAGAAAGCCGGAAATGGAACCTGGTTTGGGTTGGAAGGAATAAGGTTGCTCCTCTTGAGGCTGATGAAATGGAAATGCTTTTGGGATTTCCAAGGAACCACACCAGGGGAGGCGGTATAAGTAGGACTGAGAGATACAGGTCACTTGGTAACTCATTCCAGGTGAGTTCCATTGCCTTAATTGCACAATCCATGGCTCTGTATCAAGTCTTTTCTGACATGATTTAACAGTTGCATGAATTAATACTCTGTCACTAATGTCCTTTAAAAAGCTTTTGTTTTTTCCTCTATATATTTCCAAAATTTCATTTTAACTTTGCTTTTATAGCTTTATGTTACATTTTGCTCACAGGTTTTTATTCTTTCAGGTAGACACTGTTGCTTACCATCTGTCAACTTTGAAAGACTTGTTTCCAGGAGGGATCAATCTTCTGTCTCTTTTCTCTGGAATTGGTGGTGCCGAAGTTGCTCTTCATCGGCTTGGTATTCGTTTGAAGACTGTGGTGTCAGCTGAGATCTCAGAAGTGAACAGGAGTATCATGAGTTGCTGGTGGGAGCAAACAAATCAAACGGGGAATTTGATCCACATTGCAGATGTGCAACACCTAACTGCTGATAGGTTGGAGCAATTGGTGAAAATGTATGGCAGTTTTGATCTTGTTGTGGGGGGAAGTCCATGCAACAATCTGACAGGTAGCAATCGCCATCACCGTGATGGACTTGAGGGTAAAGATTCTTCCCTCTTCTTTGATTACTGTCGTATCCTAGATGTGGTTAAGAGTTTAGCATCTAGATACAGATGAGTTTATGTAATAGTTATTTTTTCAGATATTTTTTCCGTTTCCATTTTTTTATCCCATTTTAATAATGATCTAAATTCATGTGGTTACAATGACAAGAATTTCAAGTTGTTAAGTGCTGATACTGGTGCCGCTGGAAATATTCTCTTGCTGAGATTAGCGAAATCACTCATGAGTCTGTTAATGGAAGGAAGTGACTGTTTTATCAGGAGGATAATGGTAGCTAGTAACTTGGACCTATTTTTAGTTGACTAAACTGCTACAAGTTACAAGTTAAAGTCGGTAAATCATGATTTCCTCGAGACATGTTCGCTTAGAAATCAATAATGCAAGTGATATTTTAGCCTTCTGAAAGTGGCTCACTTTTATCATGCAAGTTTGGCTATGTATATGTATTTTCATGTTTAATACTGTACTGTAGTCGATGACTCCAGTTTGCAAATGAGTTGCTGTAAGAAGTCAGAGCTGAGGTAGCAGATAACTTTGTTGGTGGAAAATTATGTGTCTATCTTTAAAGATTTTCAAGAGAAGTTAAACCAATGTTGATTATGGTTTAGGCAAATGCTTTTGCTGTGGAATTAGACATTTTAGTTGTGAGTTATGAATTATGACAGAAATTTGAAGTTTTAGTACTAGGGGCAGTTGTGGAACTTATTAATAGTCGTTTTGAAGGTTAAAATTCACTTTAAAGACCCATTTTCAGATCTTTTTGGTGATTCGGACATATTTAGCAAACTTGAATTGTTGTATTTTTTTTTTTTTTTTTGGTTGAACAAGGAGGTTCATGGCAGGCATATGGCCGGCATCTAAGTGGTTGCTGTGTATTGGAAGGACAGTAAAATTGTCATAGTTTGAGGTCCACAACTTACTATAAAAATGTCACAGTTTGAGGTCCACAACTTGGGCTATGGTGATGGACCCATCCCACCACAACCTACACTGCCACCGTAAAGTGGTCGTCGTGTGTCATTTCCAATTCACGAAGAAATTTAATTGATCTTATTATTATTATTATTTTATTATTATAGTAAATAATTTAGGAGTTAGTCTGGTGATTTTTCTCTCGATACTATAGATGATTTTTGGTGTAAATTTTGTGTTCTTGTAGTTGTGTTATTGTGATTAATTTATTTTATATTCTTAATTTTTGCGTGTTTTTTATTTGATTATTTTCTTACAAAATCTAATTTTTACATAATGAGATTAAATTCTCAACTCTTACCAATCAATCAAATCCAAAATCAAAATGCATATAGTTGTATCGTACATTATAAAGATGGTGAGAAGAGATATATTTTACATTTGCGGGTGACGATATTTGGAGATATCATTATTTTTGGTATTGAATTTTCTATAAAAGGAGAAACATATTAGGAGTTTATGTGCCATAGGAAGGTTGTGATTTTGAAGATGCGATATTCATTAGCAAATTTGTGCTGCCTTTTGGAAAAGGGAGAGGAAGTCTGTCTAAGCTCATAAAAATTGTGGTCTTCTAATTTGTACATAAAGTTTATTTCGTTCTTAGGGTTTTTTATTTTGCCATTGAAAGTAGAATTAAAAACTAGTTAGAAAAAATTAAGAATATAAAAAAAAATTCCAGTATGAATAAATTAAAAATTAACCAAAAAATTTTTAATAGTTTTTTATTTATTAAATTTTAAAATAAATTAAATAATCAATCATAAATAAAAATAATAATAAAAAACTTTTCTTACGATAAATAAATGAAATATTTGTTAGAAAAATAAAAAAAATGAAAAGTAATAGCAAATATAGCATAAATAAAAAGGCAATAAAATTTTACTAATCAATTTTATTATTATTATTATTATCTTTTCAAAATTAATTAAAAGACATTTTACCATTTAAATAAAGAAATTCTACCTCTAAATAAATAATAAATTTTAATTTTTTTTTGTTTGGAATTTTTATCAATTTTTTTATGAAATAAGAACCAATAAAAATATGACACGTGTCTTTTCTTTACTTTTAGAAAGTTAAAATTACTAGAAAATTAAATTGACCATATATAGTGGAGGGATCCCTGGTGTCTAATGGACCACAACAATTTACTATTTATACTATTTATATTTATACTATAAAACTAAAAGATACGAGGGTTTTTAACAGTAAAATCACTATTTATTTGAATAATGCTTAATTCTTTTTTTCCCCTTCTTGCTGATTTATAGTAATTAAAAGATTTAAGTCATTTGTTCACGCATTTTTCAAATCATGAACTGTTGCTACATTTGATCATGCTTTTTAGGATAAAAAAGGTGCTATTATTTATGAAAATGTAATTATTTTTGAACAAAAACTAAAAGATCCGAGGTTTCTTAATAGTAAAATCACTGTTCATTTGAACAACGCTTAATTCTTTTTTTCCCTCCTTGCTGATGTATAGTAATTAAAAAATCCGAGTCATTTGTTCACACGTTTTTCAAAGCATGAACTGCCGCTACATTTTATCATGCTTTTTAGGATAAAAGGGGTGCTATTATTTATGAAAATGTAATTATTTTTTAACAAAAACTAAAAGGATCGAGGTTTTTTAATAGTAAAATCAATGTTCATTTAAACAACGCTTAATTCTTTTTTTTTTCCCTCCTTGCTAATGTATAGTAATTAAAAGATCCGAGTCATTTGTTCACGCGTTTTTCAAAGCATGACACTGTTGCTACATTTTATCATGCTTTTTAGGATAAAAAGGGTGCTATTATTTATGAAAAGGTAATTATTTTTGAACAAAAACTAAAAGTTCTAAGGTTTTTTAAAAGTAAAATCAATGTTCATTTGAACAACGCTTAATTCTTTTTTTCCCTCCTTGCTGATGTATAGTAATTAAAAGATCTAAGTCATTTGTTCACGCATTTTTCAAAGCATGAACTGCTACATTTTATCATGCTTTTTTAGGATAAAAGGGGTGCTATTATTAATGAAAATGTAATTATTTTTGAACAAAAACTAAAAGGATCGAGGTTTTTTTAATAGTAAAATCAATGTTCATTTGAACAACGCTTAATTCTTTTTTTCCCTCCTTGATGATGTATAGTAATTAAAAGATCCGAGTCATTTGTTTACACGTTTTTCAAAGCATGACCTACTTGCTACATTTTATCATGCTTTTTAGGATAAAAAGGGTGCTATTATATATGAAAATGTAATTATTTTTGAACAAAAACTAATAGATCTAAGGTTTTTTAATAGTAAAATCAATGTTCATTTGAACAACGCTTAATTCTTTTTTCCCCTCCTTGTTGATGTATAGTAATTAAAAGATCCGAGTCATTTGTTCATGTGTTTTTCAAAGCATGACTTGCTACTACATTTGATCATGCTTTTTAGGATAAAAAGGGTGCTATTATTTATGAAAATGTAATTATTTTTTTAACAAAAGCTACAATATTTGAGCTTTTTTTAATAGTAAAATCAATGTTCATTTGAATAACGCTTAATTCTTTTTTTTTCCCTCCTTGTCGATGTATAGTAATTAAAAGATCTCGGTCATTTGTTCACATGTTTTACAAAGCATGACACGATGCTACATTTAATCATGTTTTTTAGGATAAAAAAGGTGCTATTATTTATGAAAATGTAATTATTTTTGAACAAAAACTAAAAGATCTTAAGGTTTTTTAATAGTAAAATCAATGTTCATTTGAACAACGCTTAATTCTTTTTTTTTCCCTCCTTGTCGATGTATAATAATTAAAAGATCCAAATCATTTGTTCACGCGTTTTTCAAAGCATGACTCTGCTGCTACATTTGATCATGCTTTTTAGGATAAAAAGGGTGCTATTATTTATGAAAATGTAATTATTTTTGAACAAAAACTAAAAGATCCGAGGTTTTTTAATAGTAAAATCAATGTTCATTTGAACAACGCTTAATTCTTTTTTTTTTCCCTCCTTGCTGATGTATAGTAATTAAAAGATTCGAGTCATTTGTTCATGCGTTTTTCAAAGCATGACCTTTTTCAAAGCATGACCTCGCTACTACATTTGATCATGCTTTTTAGGATAAAAAGGGTGCTATTATTTATGAAAATGTAATTATTTTTTAACAAAAACTAAAAGATCTAAGGTTTTTTAATAGTAAAATCATTGTTCATTTGAACAACACTTAATTCTTTTCTTTTTTTTTTTCCTTCTTGTCGATGTATAGTAATTAAAAGATCCGAGTCATTTGTTCATGTGTTTTTCAAAGCATGACTCTGTTGCTACATTTTATCATGCTTTTTAGGATAAAAAGGGTGCTATTATTTATGGAAGTGTAATTATTTTTGAACAAAAGCTGAAAGATCCGAGGTTTTTTAATAGTAAAATCACTGTTCATTTGAACAACACTTAATTCTTTTTTTTCCTCCTTGTTGATGTATAGTAATTAAAAGATCCGAGTTATTTGTTCATGCGTTTTTCAAAGCATGACCTGCTTGCTACATTTTATCATGCTTTTTAGGATAAAAAGGGTGCTATTATTTATGAAAATGTAATTATTTTTGAACAAATCAATCCTTATAAGAGGGCATTTGGAGCATTTGCTACATGAAATCTTAAATGCTATCATGAGAAGTAATGGTTGGAAATGTGAAGTATTTGATTTATATTAAGAAGTTCATGAAAAACTTAAACAAATTTATTATTTATTTCTAAAGTTTAAAATATCTAATTTGAATATATATATATATATATATATATATATATATATATATATATATATATATATATATATATATATATATATATATATATATATATGCAAATAAGTATGTCTATAAGTACATGCATATTATATAAAATATTACTATCACATAACATAATTTATTAATTAGCAATTACATAACATTTATTTCTCAAAAAAAAAAAAAAAGGCACGTATATTATACTAAAGATTTTAGTAGTAAATTAAGATACTTTTGCATTATTAAAAAAACCGGATATATCAGTCCATTTAATATTTATAGTTGGTGGATTTTAGTAAATAAATTATTTTTTAATATATTTTTCATTATTTTTTTAATTTCCAATTTATTTTATTTTGGTCTTTAAACTTTTAAAATAAAAATTTTAATCCACAAACTCATGCACTACACATGTCTTTTCTTTTCCTTTTTCTTTTTTGGTTTTTTCCTTTGTTTTTTTCATCAATTTATGTTCTTTTTTTATTTATTTAATTTTGTGTTAAAAAGTTTGAAAAATCATTTTTTCCTTTGCTTTTTTCCAATCAATTTATGTTCTTTTTTTTATTTAATCAAGTGTTAAAATTTTGAAAAATCATTTTTTCCTTTGCTTTTTTCCAATCAATTTATGTTCTTTTTTTTTATTTAATCAAGTGTTAAAATTTTGAAAAATCAATTGTAACTTTTTTCCATACAAATTGATGATTATATAATATATCTTTTTATATTTTAAAATTAACATATGCTTTAGCTTATATTACTCTTATTATTTAAATTTCATTCTTTGAATTTATCATTTTTTTTAATAAAAATTCTCATCTAATTAATATTTTTATATGAAATTTATTTATTGATATTATATAATTTATTTTTCTCCATGTTTGAATTTTAGAATAAAATTTTAAAACATGATTTTTTTATTTTTTTAAAAATTAAATTGGTAATATATATATATATATATATATATATATTTTATTCTAAAAGGTTAAAAGTATATTTTAAATAATTTATCTCAGTTCACTTGATATGGTCAAGACATATAAAAAAGTTATTGAACCATTGATTTTATTAAAAATTAACTATACATCTTCAAAAATAATACAAATTATTTGTTATAAATATTTTTTAACATTAAAGAACCAATTTATTTGAAATAAAATAATTAAATTAATTTATTAAAGGAACCAACCAATTATTCAGATATTGTTTTTCTACTAATTGTATTGATTATTTTGTAAATAAATATATATAGATCAAATGCATATACTTGAAAAAAAAAAATCTTCTCACCAACATCAACTAAGAATAAAATTTTATTTTTTTATTGATTAATTTTTATTCAAGTCTATACATTAATTGTAATTTTATTTTTTGGATACATTCTTATAAAAAAAATATAATTTTAAAGTATTATTTTTGAATTCTTAATTAATATTTCAGGTTTAAATTTTTTCAAGTTTTTATTTAAGAATCCCTAAATAAAGAAGAATAAATTATGTTTTTTTTAAGCTAAAATTTTATGAAAAACACACAAAAAAAGTAATAATTAAATAAAAAATAATAACATTTTGAAATGATTTTATTTTATTTACCCGTAGCATTGCATGAATAATTTCAAAAATTAATTTTCTCATCAACATTAAATAAGAATTCCTTTTCATTTGTTAATTTTTGTAAAAGTTTATCCATTAAATATAATTTTATTTTTTGAAATATAATATTGTGAAAATTATATTCTATTTTTTTTTCAATTCTTGATTAATATTTTAGTTAAAATTATTATAATTTTTAATTTTTAAATCAATTCATAATGAATAATGATTTTTATTTTTTTAATAACAAAATTTATAAAAAAATATTAGAAAAAATTTATGAAATAAAATATTATAATTAAAAAATTAAATAATTTTAAATAATTTTATTATATCTGAACCGTAGTATAGCGTGAGCAATCGACTAGTAGAGATCTAATTGCCCTAATTGAAAACCATGTCTTTTTCTTTGTTAGAAAAGTCTCTATTGTCATTAAACCATCAAATTGGATATCTAATTATTGGGATCGTTGTTGGAGACTCGTGGATATGCAAGTACGACAACTTATACTTTCGTGCATATATTCATGAATCTAGGAATTTTTGCTTGGCTTGTTTATTTTATTTCTTATTTTGAGAATTCTATTTACTTTAGTCGATAAAAAATGATAATGATTTAAAATTAAAAGACTTTCTTTTCTTTTTTAAAAAGGATTGTTAATCCTTATTTTTTTCCCGGAGAAATCCTTCAAAAACTAAAGCAAACATATAATAACAAATTCAAAATATAATCAAGTATTGGCCATTGGGTTTATACCGGATAGTTTTAATTAATTCATGTTAAATCAAATTTCATTTTTTTCTTTATTAATGAATAATATATTTGTCATGAACCACATATTTTTTTCTTTATTAACATATAATAATTTATTTTCATTTTAAGATTTTTTTTCCTTTTTAATGTATTTTTTTCTTTAAAATAGAAAAGAGATCAGGTGAAAAGGAAAATTTGATAAGGAGATGTGCAATTTTGAAACAAAAAAAGTATTGAATCGAGGGTAGGTAGACCGGACTGAGAATTGACAGAAAATATAAGCTGACAAACAAGATGACAATGCGAAGCCTAAACACAGTGAATAATCTCTTTGTTAAAGAAAAAGGCCAGGAAGGGTGAAGAGACTAATGCTATAAGGTTTCAAAGAAGAAGGAGTAATTTGTAATGGGTTTCAAAATCTAGGGACTGAAATTAATTTAATATCTGCTTGGCTTTGCTGCCATATGTTCTATAAATATGCTCCTTGCTTCACGCCTTTCCCTTCCCATTCCTGCTCTATCTCTCCACACTTTCTCTCTCTAAAAAGCATCTGAAAACGTTAGAGAGAAAGAGAGAGACTGGTGGAGAAAGATCTACAGCATTTTTCATTTATCTTTTAAACGGCGCCGTCAGGTACTATTTTCTCTTCCATGTGCAAGATTATTATTATTATTATTGTTTTAAATTTCAGATCTGAATCTGTATGATCTTAGAAAGTATGGAATCAAGGGTTGATTTCTGTGTTCTGTAACCTGTTTGTTCGCTGAGAGAATACGGAGTAGTATTAATTAATTAGATCTGCCTTTCACTTTCTTTTGTTTGTTAAATTTTTCAAGTTTATTATTATTTTTTTTTTAAAAAAAATTTAATGCTTTGTTTTGTTTGGGTTAAACTAGCTGCTATTGAAAATCGAAATCTGTACTCATCTGAGGTTATTGGGTCATTGTTGTAGCCATAGGGTTTTGATTTGATTGGAATGGCTGCTACAGCAACTGCATCCTCTGCGGGTCCCCGATATGCACCGGAGGACCCGACTCTCCCCAAACCATGGAGAGGTTTGGTTGATGGTAAAACTGGCTACCTTTATTTTTGGAATCCGGAGACCAATGTTACTCAGTATGAGAGGCCTACTCTGCCAAAGTCTTCTCCAATACCCATCATTTCTTCTGTTCAAGTTCACCAGTCTTCTCGTCGGGGGTACAGCCCCCTGTTAAGGAAGATGATAGGTATGGAAGACCCAACAATGCTGCATCAAAACCTGATGCTTTAACCAGGAGTAGTCAGGTATGGATTTTATTTGAAATTTGGAACCAGGATAGTTTTTGTATTTAAATCTCAGTTGATTTTTTATTTTCCAAAAGAATTCCCAACTTGCTTCATGTCTTTTATGTTGATGAGCATCCAACTAACTCTGTCGTCAAAGAAAGTTATGACAATGCCAACATAAAATTTCAAAAATGAAAATCCAAACCCTGAAAATGTGAATGTGTGCCAGTATTGAATTTGTCTGAAGCTTTCCTGCTTGTAAATGCCCCAAAAATGTGATTATGTTTTTCTGTGCTTTGATGCCACATCCTTAATTTTCCCAGAGTTCAAGAGGTGCAGCAATTCAATCTGAAAATGTCCCAAATGGAACAGCCAATGGATTCTCTGCTAGAGGACATGGATCATCAGCTGGAGGAAGTGGTTTGTCTGGAGAGGCTTATCGCCGCCGCCATGAAATAACTGTCTCTGTGAGTTTATGGAATGCCTTGAATGAGTTTTGTTTTGGTGTTTCTTACCCATGTCGTGTGTTGTTTGTACTTGGTATATTTTTTACCTGTCCATATTATGAGGCAGATTTGTTTCTACTTGGCATTTTTACCTTTCCACCTTATGAGGCACAAATTGTGAATCTTTGATACCTTTTCCTCAGCTCTACAAATAATTTTGCTCTCAAGCACATTTGGAACTTCTTTTTTGCTGATGTGTCCGAGCAAGCAGCTTCTTAAAATTTGAACATTGAGCTGATTTTAGATGTAAGATTTTTGAATCAGAATAATCATACTATTCCATTGCCAGTATTGATGGGAACCAGAGTTTGCTGAATAGTCCCTTTATTACCTGAATCTATCTCTATCTCTTTACTCCCTGCTCCCTTACTTCTGCAAATGATTTTGTTTGTGGGCATTCTTCCAGGGATAGACTAGCCTGTTTGCTACCTAATTATTTTGGTAAAATTAATCTGTGAGAGCGTGAGTGGTTCAGAGCCTGCACACACTTTGCTTGTTTATGTTGTCTTTGTCATTGATCAATAGATAAAAAATTAAAGTTTTCCCTGATAACTCATTAACAGGGAGATGAAGTGCCCCCACCTCTAGCATCATTTGAAGCTACTGGCTTTCCTTCTGAGATTTTGAAAGAGGTATGTGCTTCTAGTTCCTTATTCTCTGTGTGTATAGAGTACCAGTGTCGTCGAGCTCTTGTAAGTTAGAAAAACTATGAAAAGTGTTTCTCATGCTAAGTTATGTGATTGATGGAGGTCCATTGTTGAGTTTCAGACTCGTTAATGCTTTTGCCCTCTGTACTTTTTGTCGCAGGTGCGATATTTGCTCCTGCGAGGAGCTAATGTCGTACGCTGTGCTGCCCTCCCTTTGGGGGCCTTGCATATAATTTGGAGCGCCCTTATATGGTGGACCATTTTTTTGGGAGGGCTTTCTGAATCACCTAAGTTCGTGGCTGGGACTGTCGTTGGTGATGGTTTAGTCTACCACTTGGTCCGAACGGAAGAAGAGGCCTCCTCCTGCTCCAGCTTGCATCAGCAAGCATTTGCCGACTGCATATGGGGGATGATGCTTCTTCTGCCATTAGCCACTCTATAAGTCCAAAGAAAATCGAACAGAATCTTGAAGCCAGTACCTCAGCTTATGGGGCTTGCTGGATTTTTGCTTTTTCCAGGTACTCAATGCAGGGTTCTCTGCCCCAACTCCAATTCAGGCACAATCGTGGCCAATCGCTTTGCAGAGTAGAGATATAGTAGCTGTTGCCAAGACCGGTTCGGGTAAAACATTAGGTTACCTAATTCCAGGCTTTATCCATCTCAAGCGCTGCCGTAATGCCCCTCAACTGGGTCCAACTGTTTTGGTACTGTCACCAACAAGAGAGTTGGCAACACAGATACAAGATGAAGCTGTGAAGTTTGGAAGGTCATCAAGAATTTCCTGCACGGTATGCTACTCATGGTCTAATCTGTTGTGTTGATCTGTTTGCATGTACATGTATTTTCAGGTCCAAAATTATTTGCTAATCTATTTATTATTATATTCTAAGTTTTGTACTAATGCCTTTTTGTGATGTTACTGATGTTTGCTATGATATTTTATGTTTCAGTGCTTGTATGGAGGAGCACCAAAGGGTCCCCAGTTAAAAGAACTAGACAGAGGAGCAGACATTGTGGTTGCCACTCCTGGTCGCTTGAATGACATTCTTGAAATGAGGAGAGTCAGCCTCAGTCAAGTTTCTTACCTTGTACTAGATGAGGCTGATCGCATGTTGGACATGGGTTTTGAACCCCAGATACGTAAGATTGTAAAGGAGGTGCCTGCTCGGCGCCAGACCCTCATGTACACTGCAACTTGGCCAAAGGAAGTCAGGAAAATTGCTGCAGATCTACTGGTCAATCCTGTTCAGGTTAATATTGGCAACATAGATGAGCTTGTGGCAAACAAGTCTATCACACAGGTCTGAACTCTAACCAAATTAAATTTGGACTTTTAGCAAATAGATTAGATGTGTTTTTTCCTTCTAAATATCCCTGCATTTCATTGTAACTTCAAAGCAAGAGTATAGTCATCAACATTTGTAAGATTGAATAACTTGTATGTATTATGGTCTTTCAGTATGTTGAATTATTGGCACCCTTGGAAAAACATAGACGATTAGAGCAAATATTGCGGTCCCAAGAACCTGGATCGAAGATTATTATTTTTTGCTCAACAAAGAAGATGTGTGATCAACTTGCTCGCAACCTCACCCGCCAATTCGGAGCTGCTGCTATTCATGGTGACAAATCTCAGAGTGAGAGGGATTATGTTCTGAGTCAGTTCCGAACTGGGAGGTCTCCAATACTTGTAGCCACTGATGTAGCTGCTCGAGGACTAGACATTAAAGATATCAGGTTAGGGACTGTCCCTATATTGTGTAGCTGGAATTTCTGTATTAATTACACACCATGGTCTTGTTAATTGTTAAGGTATTTAGCTTGATGGCTATTATACACAACACAATTATATTCTCCTGAGCCTTGCTGCATGCTGTATTTCTTTGGAATGCCAGCAAATTTTGAAAAATCTTCCTCACCTTCTTTTAGGCTATGTTTATTTGAAAACATTTTTATTATTATCCACTTTTGGTTCAACTTAGGAAAACCAGTCAAAGGAATTTGTTTGCAAGAAACTGAAAAACTATACTTTGCTGGGGGAATTTGTTTCCTCTTCCCACTAAGGAAAACATTTCCTGAAGACTTAATAGTTTGAAGAACCAAAAAATAAAATTAAAAAAAGAAAAGAAAAAAAGAAATGAAAAAATGTATTAAAGTTACTATCATCATATCATAAAAAAAGATATTGCATTATGCCAATTTTATTATTCAAACAAGGTAATATGAAAAAGAGTCAATTTGTGATGCATGTCAAACACAGGAAAACATTTGATATCTTAGAAAATGGTTTCCATAGAAATTGTTTCCAATATCTCTTGGTTTTCTGGCAAACAAACAGAGCCTTAGTATTACTGCATTAAATTAATCAGAAAGCAATGCAAGTTTGCAAAATTTGTAGAACTTTCTGGAAAAAAGGTGTTTGGAAAGCTTTTCGTTTAACAAAGCTTAGGACATCTTAATTTGCACTGCTAACACTAAATGAGAATTCTAGGAGTTGCAAGTCTTTACTTGGAAGCACATGTGTCTTCTGCATCCCCATTGTTTTGTCAATTGTTCAATGACTACCAGTTTCTTGTTCATGTGGAAAGCTTTTTATATTTTGATTCCATCTGTCTGTCATTTGGATGCTTGATACCAATTAGTGTTTGTTTGATGAACTTAGAGGGATACCTTATGAGCTGTCCATGTTGTTCTCAAACATGCTTTATCTCATTTCCTGATTTTGTTGTCTTAGATGACAAAATAAATCACTAAGGTAATAATTTGTGGTTAATTGTATCAGAGTGGTTATCAATTACGACTTCCCTACTGGAGTGGAGGATTATGTTCATAGGATTGGGAGAACTGGGAGAGCAGGGGCCACTGGAGTGGCCTACACGTTCTTTGGTGACCAGGATGCAAAGTATGCTTCAGATCTCATCAAAGTTTTGGAAGGAGCAAATCAGCGAGTCCCACCAGAGATACGTGATTTGGCTTCGCGTGGTGGTGGGGGAATGGGAAGGTTTAGACGTTGGGGCTCTGGTTCTGGTGGTCGTGATGGGGGCCGTGGTGGACGCAATGATTTTGGTTATGGTGGAAGGGGTAGTTGGGGAATGTCTAATTCCTCTTCTAGCAGACCAGAAAGAGGTGGAGGCCGTGGATATGACCATGAGTCGCGGGACAGGTACTTTTGCTAATTTTGATTATCAATACCTTTCAACGTTTTATTTGTGATATTAGTTTGTTTGCACAGAAATGGGAACATGTTGCATCCAATATGACATTTCTTTATGTAAATGATTTCATTTTACTAATAATGATTACAAGATTGATTGTTTGTCTTTTGCAGTAGCCCTCATGTTTGTTTTCTTTCAACTCCACGACAGTCTGTCTTTTTGATAAATCAACCTTGTGTTTTGTTATTATCAGAACTGTTTTATGCACTTTTTTTTGTGTGTTCCAAGTTTAATTTGCGAAGATGCAAATGAAATTCCATGCTATTACTGCTGTTCTTAATCTTGAGACTAATGGTAGGAAATGCGTTTCTGTTATTTCTGGACAGGTATGACCAGGGTCATGGTGATGGATACGATAAAGGCCACAATCACAATCGGAGTCCTGACAAGGGATCAGGTTGGAGTGATCGTGGCAAAAGTTGGAACTGTGATCACAGTCGTAGTCGGAGCCCGGACAGGTATGATAGGGATCCACCAGTGCGCAGTTTTCACCAGGCAATGATGGAAAAGGGTCGAGCATCCCCGCCTATTCAAATGCAGCGTGAGAGGTCTCGATCCCCTTATGCAGCTGGTGGTGGTAGCAGTTTTCACAAGGGTGTAATGGAAAGAGGTCGGGCATCCCCACCACATCAAGTCCAGCGTGAAAGGTCTCGATCCCCTTATCGTAGTATTGGTGGCAGTTTCCACAAAGATATGACCGAACAAGGTCGGTCATCATCACACCATAACCAGCCGGAGCGGGGGAGATCTCTGAGCAGTGGACGTGATGACAGAGGATTTAAAGCTGGGCCTCGTTCTTATTTTGGAGAAGAAGAGGAGGAAGGAATGATTCCAGCTGATGAAGATGGCATGATACCACCAAATGAAAATGGCTTGTATCAAGGAGCTGAGGACGGCCGCCATCGATCTCCATGATGATGGTTTTGCTGAATAGTAGATGCAGTCCCCTTTTTGTTTTGTTTGGCTCTTTTTGTTGTAGTTGCTGAAATTAGGGGAGTCGTAGCTGTAACGAAGGGGAATGAAGGTGGGTAGTTGATTTTTGGATGATGTGCCTCTTAATTTTAAAAGGATGAAGACTTTAACAGGACTTCCTTTTCTCACAGATTCTGTTTCTTCTTTTAGGGCAAAGGAGGGAAATTTAAATGTATGTATTCTAATTATGCAATACAAGTTATGAATGCTATTACGGTACTTCTCTGTATAATTTTAAGACCATTATATTTTTTAGTTAATCTTCCTGTTCGTTTGGCCAAAAGCATTTGAACCACTTTTTTGTTTTTTTCCCCCTTTTTCAGTTATCTTCATGTTTTTTTTTTTTTTTTTTTTTGACTTTCAAACAAATTTTGTCTCCTTTAAAAAGAGTAAAAGACATTGAAAGCTAAATCTTAATTGTTTTTAAAGGATTAGAGACACTGAGAATGCTATCCGCGCGCAGTTGGAAAAATAACAGTATTGCTGAGTCCTTTCTTTGTAAAAATGGCAAGGCAAAAACATGCGCATATGAGTGATAATAGAAATATTGAGCTAAGCTTATGACATTAACCACCGAAAAAAAAAAAAAGGTTATGTTTATACAATACGGTAGCCAAAACTTTGGCTCGATTTAAATTAATTAGACAAATGAATAAATAAATTAGGAAAGACAATAAATATTCAGTTACAAAAAAGAGGTGATTTAGTTTTCACCTACTGACACATAGTTAATCTCATTAGTAATATTAATTATGGCTGCAAATAAGCCACCCAGGTTTTGCAACCTCATTCGCAAGAAGGACAAAGAACATTATGGTTTCAACTTTCAAAACCTTTACTCATTTTATCCCTATTTCTAAACAAATTAACACTAGGGACTACAAAATTTAATCATTATTATTATTGAGAATATTAATTCTTACATAAACCTTTATTTCTTGTACTACTTTTTCTTAAAGAAAACTAGATTTGTCGGGAAACAAAAAAGAAAAAAGAAAAAAAAAAGATTACCAATAAGGTTTATAAATGAGATATAATTAGTCATGTAAAGAAAGGTGGAGTAAATTCAGTCTCTTCATTGTCCAGCAGTTTTGCAATAATTTGACCCATTTGACTCTATCTTTTAATTACTAAGAGAATGGGCATTTAAGGAAAGAATTGTTAACACAAAAAATAAATAAGGAATTAATGACCAAAAGATTTGTCCAAGCCAAATAGCCAGCAACTGCACTCACTAACTTACCATCAGGGCAAGGTATTAAAGCTTATACCAAATTGTGAGCAAATGAAATCAAGCACCTTTTTTTTTTTTTTTAATAAATAAATAAATAAATAATCAAGCACCCTAGCTATGTATCTCTGGATACCCCCGCCTTTCATATTCCAGCCTCCCACCATTTGATTGTCTTAGTTGTGATCCTGTGATGCCCATCGAACGGCTACGAATTGAACTATGATTTACTTGTAAAGCAATACTAGACCTTAAAAGGAACGAAAAGGCCTTACATGCATGCCGCGTGCCCTTCATTCGACGGAGAATTTTCCTAAAATACGCACTTTATAACGACCTAATGATTACTAGAATTACAAAAATAAAATAAAACGATAAATAATAATAATAATTTAATTACCAACAGCGATACAGAAAAATGGGAGCTAAACAGTCACTAACAACAAGCAATATTAACCCTTGAATGCAGTATCATCAACGGCTAAAAATCTGCCAAGTGTACACCTACCTTTTCCTCATTTCACCAATAAAGCCCCTACAAAGTAACCACTACTCCTGAAATTAACATTAAGCCTTCTTTTCCTTCCTTTCTTGTAATCTCTCTCTCTCTCTCTCCCCTTTCTCTTCTCTCTACAGTGCTAGCTCCCCTCTCTATTGCATGGAGTTTAATACAAAGCTGAGAGAGGAATTTCCTTTCCTTTCAAGCCTTCTCTCTGAATATACCTTGAATCCAGAGGGAGCTAATGAGTTTTCCCCCGAAGAAGCTCTCTCTTCTAAGGGGCTTTTTCACAATTTTCACCACCCCATTACCAACTCTCCCCTTTTCGATCATTTTACCATTGAAGGCTCCTCAAAGAATCCATTTTCTGGAATTTCAGGAACATGCATCGATCCCGCGGGCCTTGATGCCTTGGCAACTGGCTTCTCTACTCATGATCTCAATGCTTATGCATCCACACCTTTGTCGCCTGCAGATTGTGGAGATAGGCTATTGCATGGCTTACAAAGAAGACAGGTTTGGGATTATGATTCTCAGAAAATATTTGAGGCTTACTCCTTGGATAAAAAGGAGATGAATGGGCCACTCCAGTTTGAAGAAATCGGATCGATGAGTACTGGTAATAATAAGGGATCCACAGATGAAGTCTCATGTGTGAGTACTGAGGATACTCATGATCAGTATCAGAAGAAAGTTGATCATCATAGAACGGCCAAAAAATTGTTACTGAAAAAAGATTCCAGAGTTCATAAGCAATCTCAACTTATCAAAGGCCAATGGACTCCTCAAGAAGACAGGTAGATAGGATTCTTTTTTGTCTTCGTTTAATAATTAGGGTTTTTACACATGTTATTAATTTGGGTTAGGAAGAATTGATTTTGTGAATCTCTTCTCTATATATTGTGTAGACTATTAGTACACTTGGTGAAGCAGTATGGAATAAAGAAATGGTCTCAAATTGCTAAGATGCTGGAGGGAAGAGTAGGAAAGCAGTGTAGAGAGAGATGGCATAACCATTTGAGGCCAGACATCAAGGTTTTTTCTCCTTCCTTCTTCCCCTATTTCATCCATTTTCACATCTCTTGTCTTTTGGTGGTTAGATATACATATATTACCTTCCTTATATGACCAATTTATGCAAGTATATAAATACAAAAACAATATATGCTAAATTCATATAGTACATAAATACTTGCCTTGTCAATCATTTGTCGCGACGCGCTTGACAACGCATTGACATGCAGGGTGACTAAGTGTCAGGTTGGACTACAAACTTAACAAAAGCAAATCTTGTTTTGAGATAAGAAGCTATTGTTACTTTTTTTATTATTTATTTAGATAAAATGTCGAATTTACGAGAATTACGAATAAGTGTTGATATATTTGGGAAAGACAATTTTGACATTTTATTTCAAAAAACATCATCCGAGGATAAATAGTAAAATCTCATATTAATTTGGTCCGAGTTGTGACAATGTATTGACAAGCAAAATGACTGAGTTTGAGGTTGGATTATAACTCATTGAAACAAATCTTACCTGGAGGATAATAAGTGATGCTATTATAACATGCATAGTTTTAAATAACATATGGATGAAAAAATAATCACGAGTCATTATCGCGATCATGACTTACTATAATACTAAAATAACGAGTAACGAGATACTCGAAACCATTATATAATAGTCGTTATATAACGTAATGAGAGTTATTTAAAACTATGGTAACATGTTTTGTTTTATTAAAAAAAAAAGAAGATATGAAATGTCAAAATTATCTTTAATTTTAGAGAATGATTGAGAAAGTTGGTATATTTCTAAAAGATAATTTTGACATTTTAGTTTAAAAACTTTTACCATTAGCATCATCTAAGGATCAATTGTAAAAAATCTCATATTTAGTCCACAACAAAAGTTGTAACAATGCATTGACATGCATAACGGATTAGAATCAATTGGACTAAAACTTATTGAAACAAATCTCATCTGAAGGATAACGAGTTAAGCTTTAATTTATACATTGAGTTAATTTTTATGGGATAAATGGCTCAATCTATTTTTATATAATTTGTCAAGTTTTTAATTTGTTTTATATTTCTAATTGTGTCTATTATGTTCGTTTACAATATCTATTTATCTAATATGTCATTCTATCAAGTTTTTCAATCCACATTGACATAATTATATTTTTCATTTTAAAACTATCATTGAGCTCTACAATAATATAATATTTTTTAAAGTTAAAATCTTTATTTATTTTTTTAAATTTTAACGGTCGAGAGGTTAAGCTTTGTCTCGGAACCTTGTGGGATTAGGAGTTGTTAGAAAATAATATAAACTATTTACGAGATCTCACCTAATAGTTTAACTTTTTGGATTGAAATGATCATTTGACACGATACTAGAGTCTTGATAACCAAATGGTCATTAGTTTGAATCTCACCACCTCCATTTCTCTTCTAATTAATTAAGTATAAGGTAGTGTGGGTCTATATAAGTTTCAAGTCCAAAGGGTTTTTATTTGAAGAGATGTGTTAGAGAATAATATGAATTATTTTTAGGGTCTCACCTAATAGTTTAAGTTTTTAGGTTCGGATGGTCATTTGATAAGAGTAATGCATACCAAGGTTGATGCAACTTGTTGGGGTGGAGAAGCATTGGGAACCCTAATTTTTTTCTTCGGAGCTGTTTCTTTTCCCATCCCCCATCAAGTAATCTTGAAACTTTTATTTCTAAAAATATTTTGAGAAATTTTCTTATATGATTCAAGGATAATTTTAGAATAGAAAGTATAATCAATTAGAATGAAAAAAACTTTATTGAAGGATATATCGAAGGATTTGATATTCTTTAGAGATATAATAAAAACAATTAGAAATGTAAAAACATATTGTAGAGTTGCCCAATTATGTATGAATAGCTTTAGCTATTTACCCTAGTTAATTGCTTGATAACAAGTGAAATAGATAAATGATACGTGATATATAGCTTCTTCTTCTTTTTTTTTTTTTTCATTTTTTTGGTAAATACTTTTGTTTTTGTTAAAGAAACGTATAAATGGTATGTACCTTCTTCATGGTAAATCATTAGAGCTTTAATTTCTTGGTTTTATGTATTTTATCGACAACATGCATGCAGGCATTCTTGTGCTTGAATGAAGCTCTATGATTTTACTATCTTGACAGAAATGCTTAAATGTTGTTTGCAATGCTTGACGATGCATTGTCTTCCTTCCATGCACCACAATATGCTTAATAAACTAATAATATCATCAATATAATTCATCCAACTTGCAGAAAGATGCTTGGAGTGAAGAAGAAGATGAGATACTAATCAATGCCCACAAAGAAATTGGAAATAGATGGGCTGAAATTGCCAAGAGATTACCTGGAAGGACAGAGAACACCATAAAGAATCACTGGAATGCTACCAAGAGAAGGCAATTTTCAAGGCGTAAATCTGGCAAGGACTTGAATTCTGAAAGCACCCTCTTGCAAAGCTACATTAAGATGGTGACTTCGTCCTCATCAACTCCAGAAACTAATGAGAAGGAAAAAACTGATGACGTTAATTCAAATTCACCTAACCAGAACGAGAGCTCAGGTTCATCCTCAGCAGACTTGGAAATCCCGTCTAGATATGACCATAACAATGAGCCATCCAAGTTATCCTTTGACTCAAATTTGTTTAATGATAGTTATGGGTTTATCTCCTTCCTTGATCATGAGATGCCTTGCGGTTCTGTGGTTGATGAGAGCAATATGGAGTTTGAGATGTCAGAACTGGATAGTTTGATGAAGGGTGCTGAATTGAAGAAGGAAATGGATTTGCTAGAGATGATCACCCAAGGAATTAGTCGTTAAGCTTTTCTTCTCATTGGTGCCAGCCGCATGCATGGAGACTCTTCGCGAAGCTCTTCATGGGGAAATACATCGGTGTGTAATTAAGCAGTGGGCTTTATGTCTTTTTCTTTTCTTTTTGTTTTTTTTGTTTTTTTTTTTTTCCCCTAGTGGAATGCTTCCAATGGCCGTTCTTCTTCCTTGCACCAGTAATGCTTTTAGACTTGTTTTTCCTTAACTTTTGAAGAAAAGTTTATGGACTAATTTGTAGTGGATATTTGTGCTATATATAGATACATAGTTCTTTTAGGTTATTTCATGCAGTTAACAAGATTCAAATATGGAATATACGTGCTAAAAGACTAGAAACCATCCGTATAAGAGAAAGCATTCTATATATCTTCACACAGGTGTGTGAGTTATTTCATATTAAGACAAATATTCTATTTGGACACTTCAAGTGGGCGGCCATACACAATAACCATGGAGGAAATGCCAGGCAGTTTAACAAATTCCTCATCAAAATCTAAAGGAAAAAGGCTGTTAACTTTCTCTTTAATACTTTTCTTTTAAACATTTGTTCAGTAAATATATCCATGTCAAGTTTTATTTTTTTTTAACTACCTCAAACATCTAAGAAAAAAATTAGTGATTAGAAGATTATTAATTTTCTATATTTTTAACATACTTTTAAATTACAATCAATCTCATATTATTTAAAAAACTAATATATATATTTTTTACTTTTTTTGGATAAAGCACCAATGTTGTCATCACCCCTTTTCACCACAAAAAAAAAAACAAAAAAACAAAAAAATACAAAAAGAAAAAAATTAAAAAAAGAAGAAGAAAAATTAAAAAAAAATCCAAATCATAAAAAAAAAAAAGAAAAAAATTAGGCTTGGGCGACCTGGTGTGCTAGCACTATACCAAATAAGGGCATTGCGGGCGGTTTTTTGGCTTCTAGAGGCGGTTTTAAAAACCGTCCCAAGACCACCCGCAATGTCGTCGTCTCTATAGTGTATGGGCGGCTTTGACAACTCGCCGGGATTTCGAGGCGATTTCTTGGAGCGGTCCAAACCGCCTCTACATTTTCGAATTTTTTTAAAATATGTGAGAAATAGTTGAGGCGGTTGCAACCGCCTCAAGGTTAAAATTTGTAGAGGCGAGTTGCAACCGCCCCAAGATTAGAATTCGTAGGGGCGGTTCAAACCGCCCTAAACTATATAATTTATAGAATTAATTTCAGAATTCATAGATGCAAATTCTATAATTCATAAATATGGTTGTTTAACTTTCGCCTTCAAATTTAATTGTTGAATGTAAAAAAAGTTAAAATTATATAGCTACCACAATATTCTTAAATTTATAATTATCAAATTCTAAATACATAAAAAGTCATCAAACATTCACATGTTAAAAAAAAAACTAAATAAAAAGTCATCAAACATTTGTAAAATTCTTAAACACTATGATATCGACAACAAGCAACGATAACCACTCGCTTCTTCCCAATCATCACCGGGAACTTCGACTCTTCCACAAAAGGCTTCTAGCATATCACAAAAGCTTCCAATCGTGGCATCTAAGAAAAGTTGTTAACAGACAAAACCATAAAAATGAATGAGACATAAGAGAGATAAGAGTTTAAAATATCATCGGCAGCATCGACGGCTTTACGTTGAAGCTCGGCAGGATCTTGTTAAATCATTACCGAAATATCATCATCGCCTTTTTCTTGACTTTCGGTTTCCTCAAGGATGAGGTAATGTCCCGCAATCCATCCCCTAGTTTACAAATAAGTATTTAACCCAATCACATAAAACTAAATCCAAAATTTTGCGTACATTAGGGGTGTATTTCGAGTCGGTGATTTTGAAATCCATCATAATCTCTTTGTGCTTGAAATGAAACCGGTATACTTGGCTCAATGGACTTGCTTTCAACTGCAGCATTTCCGAAATTTACCTTCTACCCGAGAAACTTGAACAAATGCAATCAACCATAAGCATAACAACAATTAAGTGTTATGTATGATATAAATAAAGGTTAGTTCAACTTCAATCAAAGAACACTTAAAATCTTGCATGTTGAATCAACATATAGAAACCAAAATGATTTTCATCTTTTTCCCAACCTATTGGCTTAATAACCTATTCACATACAAAAGAATGTTAGTTCCTCCAAGGCATCGGAATCATGTGTTGGAGGCCATAATTCTCAAGAAGGAAGCAAGAATTCCTAAGCACACGTAACGAAAGTAATAAGTGACTTGTTGTGCAAGTCTCACATTACACATGATAGATTACTAGGCAAAAAGAGCAACATGAAGAGCATACTTTTGACGTGATAGACGAGAACCAAATGAAGTAATATGATGCTACCAAAAAGAACTAAATGAAGTACACATGCTGCCACCAAAAGGAAAGGGAAGGATTTAAATGTATCGACAAGTTCAACAACGGGGCCATTCCTCCATGTACGCATTTCAAAAACAGAGATTTATTTTACCACTCTACCATGCTTTCTTACAAGCAGTAGAGACACATACAAATTAAAAAAGATGTGTGCAAAGTTGTTCTCTACCTTTTCAGCAATAATAGTCTCTACTGAATCAAGATCTAGTTGTTCAAATTTCACTCATTCATCAAGCCTCCTATTAACTCGTCAAATAGTTAAAAAAAAAAGACTTGAATAAATACAACTTTCAAAATCACTGCAGATACGTGGTTAATAATCATGTAGAAAATTACAAAGTGATCACTCCAAATAATTAATCATCATAACAATATTTACATAGATGGGATGCCAATCACCCTAAACTCGTTGCACATCTTAATTTTTTTTAGCATAATACTCTAATACCGAGCACAAAATTTTTATCGTTCTAGTATTTCTATAGAATTAGGTGACACAATTCTATCCTTAGATGTGAAGCAATAAGACCTTGAACATGCACCCCGAAGAACTCAAATGAAAAAGCTAGAATTTTCCACCTTGCATAAAAGTCACAATATCATCCTATAATGTATAAAAAATCTCTTCTATTGTAGGTCGGCATACTATCATCCTCTTAGTACGAAATTGCAAAATCTAATATCCACGTAATAACTATACATCCCTCAAAGTGTTACTCCTAAATTTAACATTAAACTAGTACAAGCTTATATACTACAAAAGTATACCGAAAAGCAAGCAGAGACATTGGCAAAACCAAAGCACATTATATCGGATGAAATTGCTAATTAGGACAAACAATTGAAAAATTCAAAGTCAAAATAAGAACAAGACAGTTAGCATATTACATTAAAAATTTGAAGGTAATTAGAAAAGAAAAGAGCAGAGTAATCTAATTGATTGGCCACAAAATTAATTTAGCATACTTACCATTAGAGAAGGACGAAGCGAGAGGAGAATAACAAACAAGTAGAGGAGAAGAACTACGAAGAAGATGAGAAGAAGCACGAAGCGAGAGGAGAAGAAAAACCTAAAGAGGAGAGGGATAATTACCATTAGAAGCTTTAGAGTCTATAAATTTTGCTACCATGCCCAGGGGCCTCGCCGGCTCCCGTCCGAGTCCACCCACTCGAACATCAATTCTAGGTTTCGGAATAGCGGTATTAAAATGAGAGCATAGCAAGGTAATTGAGACGAAGCGGGAGAGAAACAAAGTCATCTACGCAAAATTATAATCCTTTTTCCCGTTCACAAAATCAATCTCGGTAAAGACTTCTATTAGTTCGTTCACATAATCAATCTAAGTTTGTAAATCAAAAAACCATCAACCTTGGTAGCGATTACATTGAGAAAACGAGTCTTTTGATTTATTTTCTACTCCAAAACACTAAAAATGAAAAATAATGATTACATTGAGAAATATTTGTTAGAGAAAGAGAAAAGGTTGATGTTAAGAACCTTGGTAGCGATTCTCACGAGTGGCACCACGAACCAACTCGGTGCAAAATTTCTCAAGGTTTTTGACATTCTTGGAGGAAAAGGTGATACCGATCTCGTGAATTTGCTATCGGGTCTCCTCTAAACCGAGGCTTTTCTTGTCATTTTCTCTTTTTGCTAAGAGAATTGGAGAAACAAGGACGACATTCCGCTTGGAGCGAGGCGACCATGAAAAGGAGAGGATCTATTGCTTGTCGAGGCAAGGATTTGGATCTTGGAGAGGGTAAATGAGAGAGATCCGTCGCTTACCGAGATGTGGATCCGGATCTTGAAGAAAAAACTTAGAAGTTGAGGAGGGGTGGGATAGCGGCGCAGTTCTTTCTAAAAGAACTCAAAAAAAAAAAAACAAAAGAAGGTTAGCTATCGAGGCGGTTTATAAAACCGTCTCATATTTTTTTTTTTTTGTTTATAGGCTATGTAAATTAAAAGTAATTAAAGTTTGAGGTGGTTTTATTGACCGCCCCAAACATTCCGCCTCCATAGGCCTTTTTTCGTGTAATGTAGGTCCCACACTAGGCCCAAAGACACATAAGACCCATGCGCACTAGGCCCAAGCCTAGTTGCCTTGGTCGTCCAACTCAATTGACATTTAAAGCATGAAAATTTACCCTAAACCGATCTAGATAGCATTATAAGTAGATCATACCATACCCACATTCACTAACACACTACCACCTAGAGAGAAAAACCCTAAAAACAAAAAACTAAAGCCAAAACAGCAGCTAGAGAAATCTACTTGCCGCTCGTCGTCAACCACTCATCACCTAACACTCGTTAGACCTTCTTGATCGTTCGGAGGAAATGATCACCGTGCCACTTGAATTGCTCCATTTCGATCATCGATCGGCCTCTATGTGCTGCTTGAAGTCTCACCATCCTTATTGAACTTTCATCCGTTTCGATCATGAGCTTTTGATTTGGTAATTGTGCCCTTGTGTCTTTAATTTATTTTGATTTTCATCCAAGTTTTGTGTTGCATGGTTATTTCTTTAATTCATGTGCTAGTGATGTTTATTATGTAATTAACATAATATTTAGATGAATGATTGAACAAAAATAATTTAATTTAGTTTATGCTTGAACAACACTTTAGCATCTCATATTCCAATATCTCAAAGTGCTTTGCAATATCAAAATTTATTGCAAAGTTAATCTCATGCTTTTCACTTCCTTAGCTTGTTTGGTAAAGTTATTTGAAAGATGTTCAATAGGAAAAACTCTATTTTTAGACTCAATATTTGTATCAAATTAGCAAATTAAATCTTATGTAAATAAAATTTACAAATTCAACCCTATATTCATCAAACCTAAACAATTTGATCTAACTAACACCATAAGAAAACAAGAAAATAACGATGAAAATCAATGATGGATTATAGACTCTTGCTAAATAGCAACATATCAATAAACAAATTATGATTGTTATTGAGTCGTGGACCTTAACTACGGAAAATCGATGGATTAACGATGGATTTTCAACAAGGGACCCATATTCGTTGCTATATTTGATGGTAAAATATTCGTGGATATTTTAAAGATGGTTTAGCAAGAGAATTATGAGGAATGTCAATGACAGATTCTTGATTCCATCCTTATATTTTGGGTTCAAGGTTAGCGATGAAATTTCTATCTTTAATTGTATAATTCTCTTGCAAATTAGTGATGAAAAGTTCGTCGTGAATGTTAAAAAAATGAGTAGACTTTTGTAATTCAAATTTACCGTATCGAGAGATGGATTAGTGAGGCACACTTATGTTCATCATTGATTTGCGACAAATTAGCAACTCGAATCGTGCCCATAAATGATGGATTAGCGACTAGATCGCTTTCTCGTTAATTCCAAATCCCTAAATCATAGTTTTTCTTTTTTTTTCTTCCCCCATTTTCATTTTCCTCACCCATTCCTCCTTTAGCTCGCTGCAATCGATCTCACCCAAAACCACCACAAAACCCTACTCCTCCACTCCCTATCAACGCCCACCCACTCCAAACTCTTTTCTCCCTAAAAAGCTTTGAATTTCCTCCTTCCTCTCTAGGTCTTCCCTTTGTTTAAAGATATGTTCTCTCTCTCTCTCTCTCTCTCTCGTTGTTTCCTAAAAAAATTATTATTCTTATAATTATTAGGTTAATTCGATCAATTGATTGAATTTTAATTTTTTTTATATTTAATTATTAAGTAGTTAGTTTAATTTTTTAATTAATTTCTATTTAACTTAATTTGGTCGGTTCGGTAATTAGGGTTGAATTAATTAGGTTTGAATTAGAGTTAAATTTCATAGGTTACTATGAATTAGAGTTAAATTAATTAGGTTAATTTATTAATTAATTGGTATTTAAATTAATTAGGTTAATTTTTTAATTAGGTAAGTTAGGTTTCAATTAGGGTTAATTTACTTGGGTTAATTTCAATTACAATTAAATTAATTAGGTTAATTTGAATTAGAGTTAAATTGGCTAGCTTAACTTATCAATCAATTGATATTTAATTAGGTTAATTTGTTAATTAAGGTTAAATTAATTAGGTTTCATTTAGGGTTAATTTACTTAGGTTAATTTGAATTTAGAATTAAATTAATTAGGTTAATTTAAATTAGAGTTAAATTGGTTAGACTAATTAATTAATTAATTGGTATTTATATTAATTAGGTGAATTTGTTAATTAGGGTTAAATTAATTAGGTTCATTAGGTTTGAATTAGGGTTAATTCACTTAGGTTAATTTGAATGAGAGTTAAATTAATTAGGTTAATTTTTTAATCAATTTTTATTTAAATTTAATTAGGGTTAAATTAATTAGGTTCATTAGGTTTGAATTAGGGTTAATTCACTTAGGTTAATTTGAATGAGAGTTAAATTAATTAGGCTAATTTTTTAATCAATTTTTATTTAAATTTAATTAGGTTTGAATTAGTGTTAATTTACTTAGGTTAATTTGAATGAGAGTTAAATTAATTAGGTTACTTTTTATTAATTAGTTGATTTTTAATTTTATTTATATTAGAAATTGTTAATTATTTTTTATTTTAAATATAATTAGGTTTGAATTAGATTTAATTAAGGTTATTTGATTTAGGTTTAAATTTAATTAGGTTTGAATTATATTTAATCAATTTAATTTGATTAAGGTTTAAATTAATTTGGTTAATTTTGATTAATTTGTTCATTTCTAATGTTATTTATATTGTAATTTTTTATTTAATATTTAACTATGTTTGAATTAAGATTAGTTTAATTATTTTATTGATAATTGTTGAAGTATGTTGAGATATGTTGTAGCATATCTAACCCGAGGAGTTGGAGACCCTCGGGAATTAAGGAGAAATAAGATTGATTAAATGTTCTATGATGGAGCTAGAAGGGAGAGTTTGAAATTTAATTTCAATGAAGTATCCGAGGCAAATATTGATCTCGGTGTACACAAATTGATTGTTGGTTGATGTTTGTGTTATTATAGTTAATTAAAAATATTTGCATGTGTTGTGTATTTTAGATGTAATTTTTTTAAGATCATTTGAAGTATCCGATAATTGAAAAATGTTGAATTTACAAGGAAGACTACTAAATTTTTTTCTCCATTAATAATGCCCCTAACTACGAAAGCCCCCTCGATGATTTTCTCGGCTCCAAAAAGCTCTACTATATTTGATATAGGACGATTTGGGTCATCAATAACTCGGTTAGTAATATGATTTACATATGATAATTAGTTTTATATTTTCATATGTTGTATTAGACTCATCAATCCATTTATTTATTTTGTTCAACAACTTGGTTCTATAAATTAAATGTCCATAAAAATCACCTTAATTTTCAAGGAGCGATTGGACTCCGATGACTCTATATGGAAGTCCGTCTCCATACGGATAAAAGACTTTTATTTTAATGAGTTTAAGTAATGTATTAATTATTTGTTTATATTCCATTTAAAATATTAATTTAACACAAAATGTACTAAAATTATTATTTTTTCTTCGTGTAGAAGTACTTTTTATGGGATGCGATCGTCGACGTATTGATTAAGGATGCATGAGAGAGTTTGGCATGAAGGTGGTATGCCGAGATGTTGACCAAGCTAAAGAAAAAGGCTAACAAACCCATGTTTATTACATAGTAGATATGGGATGCATGGCATTGGGATTGAGCCACACTTGAGTTTCGAGCTCGATCTCGATAAGCATCCCGAAATTGCATGTCAAAGATGGGTGGTGTTAGTATTGGCCAATCCGTGCGTATAAGGGGGCATCTCTTTGATTTAGCATACTGAACATTTGGTAAATCCTATTATCCATTGGGTTCTAAATTAATTTTTGCATTTATTGCATCTCTTGTTATTTTGTATTTGTTTTTAGCATAATAAATTAGGTTGTAAACCAAATCTCAAAAAATAATGGTAAATTTTTTATTTTTGTAAATATTCATTTATCAATATAATCTAAAAAATATATTTATGATTTAATATTATAATTATTTCAATATCATAGAAGCACGTGCGGTCATTGCAACAAGTAGCTGGTAAGGAGTAAGAAGTTGATTCATCATCTCCATATATTGACATGATTAAGTTATATTTTGATGTTGTTGGAAGGGAGAATAAACGAGAGAATATATGGCCTCGGATCACGGACGTCGTAATATTACTCCTATTCTAGCGTCGGCTCCTTCTCTATCACTTCGCGAGTATCTTGGTGATAATATTCGGGAGATAACTATCAAGTATGAAGATAGGATGAAAGGGATTAAGGTTACCATCCAAAAATAGAAGGGTAAATTCAACACTCTATAGAGTCGGATGGAGATAGTGATGGGGTTGTTATGGGACTCGAGCAAATTCGCTTCCCTTTTGTTGACCTCGCACAACCCGGGAGTTAGTTGTTCCTTTCAATACCCAATAACCAAAAGATGATGCATAAGATGATGAGGAGGAGGACTAGATTTTTTTTTAATGTTTTTATACACCTTAGTGCATTTACATCTTTATTTGATTTTAATTTTATTAAATAATATATCATGTTTTAATAAGGTGTTATTCTTAATTGTTTACTACTACCATTAACATTAAACAACTATTAATTTATAAAAAAATTTCCTTCGTTTAGTGACGGATCAACGACCGAATTAGTGGCAAAAATTAAACCTATTTATGATGGACAAATTTATGATCGCTAAATAGGGACAAATATAACAACGAATTTATGCGATGAAAATAAAGGAAATAGTAATGATTTTGCTATAAATACCAAACTTGAAAAAAGATTGTTTTCTTCGATTTAGCAATGATAATTCTACGCATTAGCAATAGATAGATCGTCACTAAAAAAAATGGTGATGAACATTTTGGCTACTAAAAGTATATTGTAAAAAATCTATCGCTACGGATAAATAGCGATGGATGTCGATGATTTAGTGAGGAAAAAGTCCATCGCTATTTTTTGGTTTTCTTGTAGCATTACTTCGATTCTTAATGAACTCTAAGTAACATACAATTCGACTAAGATGTTTCACCTAAGTTTTGACTCACTAGAGAATCACATTTCAATAATTTGAATCTCTTATAAAATGGCTTAACTTTTGTTTTTATCTTAATCGCATCACTCTGTTAACTTTGGACTAACGGTATTAACTTTTTTTTTCTAATCTCAAATCTTTACTCTATTTTTTTTTAAATCTTAATCTTGTTTTTTTTTTCCTCTCTTTCTTAATCTCATTCAAATCTTCTTTGACAATCATGTCTACACTCAATACTCAACTAACAATCATTTCTACAATTAGCTAAATACGCGAAGGAAGCAAACCTTTGCTCTAATGCCAAACCGATGTTAGTTCGAGAGATACCAAACCATGCAAAAGCTTCGATACACAAGTATCAAAAGACTAGTTCTAGGCCAAAACACTCCAACCTCAAAACCAACATCAAAGACACACACACACACACACACACACACACACACACACACAAAACCTCAATCCTAAATCAATTCACAAATAAACAAGCCCACAAACAAAAATAAAAACACTGAAATCACCAAACAACAATTACGAAATTTCCCAACGAAGGTTAATGTGTTACCTAAGCAAATCAACTCAAAATAAGATGAAATTTTACCGAACATAGATATGGTCTAAAGTATATGTGTACTAAATTTCAGATTAGTACAAGCCCTATAGATTTGTATTTAAGCAAGTCAAAATTCTAGATAAAATAGTATTTGAAAATTTTAACAACTTTAACAATCTAAAAACCCAATCAAATATTTTTATTTTTTTTTCTAGTTTTTTTATAGGAGTTAAATTAATCCCTTAATAACAGATCGTCAAAATTTCAAAAAAAAAAAAAATTACAACAATTTCAACAATCCAAAAACCTAATATATTTTTTTAAAAGTTTTTACGGGAGTTAAATCAACCCCTTAACAATAGATTGTCAAATTTTCGAGTAAATAAAAATCCCTAGCCTTAGTTATCGGCTTTGAGATCGAAACTATTTAATTTTAGAATACAAGTCAATCTTTAATTGAACAATGAAACAAATAAAGTGTAAGCCTTAATGTCTCACTCTTGAGAAGAGTCCACTACCCAAGATGATTAAAAAGTAGTTACGGAACACGTTAACTAAGAGTCCACTCGACGTAATTGTCGATTAGAACCTACCTTAGTCGATCACTCTAAAGATGTGTTTCGAGATGTCCCGGCCAATCCAAGCAAAGGAAATATGGAGAGAAAATTCTCTATTTTTTCATTCAAAAATTTATCAAATTCTTACCGAAGAGAAACACAAAGTGTGCTTAAAGACTCACTCTTTAAACTTTAAAAGATGTGGCTAGGGTTGAGTTTCCTCCCTAAACAAGATTTTTCTTCTTTCCTAATAACCTTGGACTTATGCAACCCATATTTAATTAGAACTTAAGTAGGTTAGCCTAATTAAATATGGATCTAGATATTACATGAACTCATAAATAAATAATGATCTATAATATACAAGAATCCAATCAACCACTAAAGCCACACATTCAGCTATGTCTCCAAAATAAATAGAAAATCTAGAAATCATGAGGATCGATTACTTAGCCTAAGTCTACACAAATAAAAATAACCCAAATAAATAATATTCAACCTAAATAATTAAAAGAACAATAAAATAAATAAGATATAGGGCTGAAAGTTCGAAGCTACAATAATGAGAAAACTTTTGGCCAAGTTGAGAGGGATGCTCCCGCATCAACACCAAATACAAGCAAAACGTTTCAGCAAAAAGACTAGAAATGGGTTTTAAGAACCCTCTTCAAATAGGTTCATCGGGTACATCTCTCACTCTTTTGTTAAATTACATACAAATTAGTTCACACTAGCATCAAAAAGCTTTTTCAAGTCGATTCGTCGTATTCGATCACTAATTTAAGCATCGGAGGATACTCTATCTAACTAGAGGGATTTGTTTTGTAATTACACAATGGAAGAAGACTTTTGATCTCGCTCCACAAATGTTTGATAATCGTCACTACCATCGAGAACCATGTGTTTTAAATTTGCTTGGTAGAGTTAGTTGACAACTCATAAGGTTTATTATTAGTAACTCAACTTAAGGATTATCTAAAAACTACATGATGCATTTTTTTCCCCCTTATAAGCCGTTTTAATTATAAAACCCTCATAATCTACGACTTAATTTATTATGAAGAAATGCTTTTGGCAACACAAATTGATTTAAAAGTTGAAATGTCTATAATTAGTATCAAAATAAAATGATTTAGAAGTAGAAATGTTCATAATTAGTATTATTAAGAGATATTAACAAATAAAGACAATTATAAAATTATGATAAGATTTTTCTATCTAAAAATATTGATAAAACTTATCATTTTTTTTCCTTATAAACTTTCATATGAAAATTTTTAATTTTTTTTAAAACTTATTGTAAGTAATGCTATATACCATACGAGAGAAATTTAAATAACTTTTTGAAGAGAATTTTGTATATCATATGAGAGAGTACAATAAAAAATAAAAACACATGTCATTACACGAACATATATCCTCCATTTTCTTTATAGAGTATAAAAAAAGATTATATCTTAGTTATTCAAGTCTTTTTTTCTATTTTTTGAATAGTAAAAAGCAAATTAATTGGTAAAAAACTTGAAATAGGTGGATCTTTTTTGGTGAGGGACTATATTATAAATAAATTTAAAAATATAGGAATTATACATAAAATGACAAGTAATACTCAAATAATTTTGTTTCAACTACAAAGGACTAAAACTAACTCCGGAAAAAATTTTGGTATCACTAATAATAGGTTCAGAAAAAACAAAAAGAAATTTGGTATCGGCGGTCTCTGTCTGCTTGACTATGCTGTATCTGCTATACTATTCTATTCTCTCTCTGCCCACTGCATTTGTTTATACACACTCTCTCCTTGGATCCCCAAACAAAACCAAACTTGCTTCACAAATTTTTTTTTTATCAGTATTTATTTATTTATTAATTATACGAACTGTATCATAACATGTATTAGCTAGCTTTTCTTCCAAATTCATATCATAGCAAAAGAAGCATTCTTTCTCTCGCTCTGTAAGTACCCTTTTTCTTGCTCTCTTTGTTGCTTTTCACGCTTATTGTCTGCTGGGGTTGCTTGAATTTGTAATATATGTAGTTTTTTTTAATTGATTGTGGACTGCTTCTTTATAATATTGACTTTTCTTGCAATTGATTTATAATACGCCCACCAGCTCCTGAGTTAATAAAATGAGTTGTCTTGGTGATACAATGAGCTTTATCTAAGTTTTTGGTTCCATTAAGAGAGAAAGTGAATGAATCCATGTGCTTTGATGATGCAATAACAAAACACTTTCATTTATTAATGATCAAGAATTGGATTGATGAAGTAACTAACAATATTGTCATTCCTTTAGCACAATGCAGCAGCTATTGGCTACTTCCGATACAACCAGCTTGAGTTACTGGTGGAACTGGAGGGTCTTGGTTTCTGCAATCTGGGTATTTACACCTATGCTTGTAGCATTCTTTCTTATACGGAAATATGAATCTTTGGATTCATGCAAAGGAAAAACTCAGCAGGAAGCACCTCATTCGTTGTGTGCAAATCAACCATGGAGACCATGTCTTAATCAAATTCACCCCATTTGGTTGTTGGCTTATCGACTTATTTCCTTCTCGTTGCTTTTGCCAATCCTCATTGCCAAAGTTTGTCATAATGGATTCGTCATGTTTTATTACTATACCCAGTAAGCTCAGTTAGAGAGTCAGAGAAAGCTTCTCTTAATGAACTCAAACAACCTTGACCTTGTTTTATTTACTTTTTTTGCAATTGATGTTTTAAATATCTGTTTCTCATTTCTTTCGTTTCTTCTTTTTTAAATTCTAACTTAGCTGTTTAAATCTTTTGGGGGTGCTTAACAGATTGACTTTCACCTCTGTTACCATTTATTTTGGGGTATGTGTTTCATTTTTCTATCTTTTATAAGCTTCTGCTCAACACCTTCAAATTTTGACTAAATCGTAGTAACACCCATCTTTAATTGGTGTCACGTAATTATTATGGTCTTGACATTTTTTTTTCTTTTTCAGTTTGGATCACTGCTCTCCATTTATGGATGTTACCAGTACTATAAAAGGGGTGGTGCTGGATTTTATGAACCTCATGTCCGGAGAGACACTGAGCAAGAGTATTACATACCTCTAACTCATGGGGACAAGACAAATATACTGGAACAGAGAAAATCCTCTGACCCCCAACAGGAAATTCATTCTTCTCAAGCTGCAAGCATTTGTAGTTATCTTTTTCAAGTTATATTCCAGGTACATTCCTTTGCACTATCAAGTAGTTTTAGTGTTACGGAGAAAGGGCAACAATAAACAAGCTTCTTGTCATGTTCCTTTGGTGGTCCACTAGCCACTTGTTTGTGAATTACGCCTTTTGATCTCTTTCCATGAGTCTAAGTTGCTCTTGTTCGGTTGTTCCTTTTTAGTTGTCTGATGCTTGTTTTGTAGATGGTCCATATTATTTTTCTCCACAGCTCTATTTTTTTGCTTTTCTTCGCCTTTATCTTGCCTTAGTCCAGGTCTGCAAGTTTATCTGGAAAAATATGATCAGTGAAACTATGATCAATGAAAAATGAATTTTTAATCAATCTTGCAGTTGATCATTGGCAGGGTTTTGATGAAGCTTATCTCATACTTGTTCAGAGATCTTCCATATTGATGGGCACAAATTGACCCTTTCAGGGTTCTGATTTGCTGATCCACAACTTTAAATTTTAGACTTGAGTTTTAGTGTTAATACAACTGTTGTGCATACATGCTTTTGATACTTCAGTTATCTTCTCTTTGAATTCATTTTCCCCTTAGATTGTTTTCTTTTAAATTTTGAAAAAAATTTGAAGCATGTCACAAGAATATTATAGCTTTTCATGCAATTGTTTTGTTATCTCATTATTTATCTCTTTTTGATCTCTTGTAAACAGATGACTGCTGGTGCAGTGATGCTTACTGATTCTGTCTATTGGTTCATTATTTTCCCGTTTCTTACCATCAGAGATTACTCACTGGATTTTGTAAGTTCAGCATGGTTTAGATGAGCTCTTGACGTTCATTTGTTTTACTCTACATTTCCTAGTTCTGTCTGTTTGCACACTTGATTTAGAACTTCTAGATATGTATTTTTCTTGCTTCCTTACATTATGATTCGTTGCTTTCAGTTCTGGATAGCATTATGATTTTGTTGAACCTGGATAAATCTTTTTGCACCTATTCTTGTATTTAGCAAATCAAGAAATTGGTGGTCGTTGCTTGCTTCCAGACAGATTGAGATAAGATAGATTTCCTTTTTATTTGATATATTATACTCAAATCCAAGTCAATATACCTGATTTTATTTTCATGTCATGCAAATCTCGTATCACATATGTTAGGACTCTTTGCAAGCTAGCTACCTACCTTCTGTTTTTATTGATTCTTGAGATAGATAAATACTATAGGATTATGGTTAGGAAACAAAGGGACATACTTGGGTTATATGCATTTAGCTATGTGTTGCTTGATTGCATGGGTTATCAAGCACTCCTACTCTTATGTCCTTTTCCTATCTGTCTTGGTTGCTTAGAGGCCGATTCTTAGACTGGCTTAGGCAATCTCTTTGTCTCTACTTTTGTGCTTCTTCTCATGAATGCATACAGGTCTTTGATGCTAAGGGGGATTGTTTCATGTTTGCCCTAAAATATCTTCATCACAAGAAATTGTTAGGTACACCCGGGCTTGTACTCCCCCTCACACATAAGCATGGGACCCAACACGAAAATTATCTTGTTTGCATTTATACCAGGCCCCAACTTAGTCGTAATCTAGTTGACTTGACTATAACCACCATTGTTAAGTCTTTTCTTATATGGATGGGTAAATTGGACATGAGATGGTGTGACATAATTTATAATGCTTCCTGGCTATGATGCATCAGCTTCCAGTCAACTTGTTTTTCTTGTTAATATGTTAGTTGTGCTTCTTGTGGTCCTCTGTATCTGAAAAGTCTATGTTTTTCTTGGTGTCAGTTAACAGTGAATATGCATTCGCTCAATCTTGTCTTACTTCTTGGCGATGCAGCTTTGAATTGCTTGGTAAATTATAAGTGTCCTTCTCTCCACCCTCTTTTCGGTATTTCCCTTTGAAATTATCATTGATTTGCTCTTCTTACTCATTGTCAGCCATTCCCTTGGTTTCGGATTTCTTACTTTATTCTGTGGACTGGTTTTTTCGTCATTTTCCAGTGGATTGTGCATGCTTGTGTATCAATTTGGTAATTATCTTTTTTGTCTTTTGTCTTTTCTCTTTTAACATTTGTGTTTGTATTTGTTTCACTCATCAATAGTGGCGTTCTGTTTGCTTCAGGTGGCCATACCCATTTCTTGACTTGTCCTCGCCATATGCCCCGTTATGGTTTGTACCTAGGACATCTTATTACTGTTCTGATATGGTAGATTTTATCTGATGTATTCCTTGAAAAGTTTTAAGGTTAATTTTCCCCATAAAATAACTCTTGGATATCACTTGAAAGAACAGAAATCCTTCTACATTGATCCTATATCATAATTGTTATTTTTTTGGGAACAGAAGATATTAGTAGTTCTATTTTTCCTTATATCTTGTCCAAGGTTCTTATAATTTCTGGATTTTTGTATTACAATTTTGAGCAAATTATGGTCAGTTAATTCTCATATAAAATTAAGTTTCAAAAATCATAGTCCAGGATACCATTTCTTAAGTTAGTTGTGACCCCAAGACTTCTGTTTCTACAGTAGGCTACTCTTACCAGTGCTTCTTTTCTTCCTTTTATTGTCCCTTCTGCCTGGTTAAATGAAGAAAGCATGCCTGGCTTTAACTTACAAGTGTATCTGATTCCTCTCTGTTTGTGCTATGAATGTACAGGTACTTGCTTGTGGCAATGATGCACATACCATGCTATGGCCTCTTCATGTTATTTATGAAAATAAAACATGACCTGCTGACAAAATGGTTTCCTCATTCGTATCGTTGTTAAGAATAAAACAGCCCATAAATTTTCTCCTCTCCACATCATTGTTTATGACAATAATTTGCCTAACTTTGAGTCCAGATGCCTTCATGCCTGCCTTCATCTGGTATGGCTGAATCTGGATTCTTGATCCTTGAGGTATTTTTTTCATAAGAAAACAGGTTACAGCTTGTTCAAAGGTTGTAGGCCTTCTTGCGTGTTTCTTTTTCTTGTTTCTTTCTTTTTCTCCATTCACTTGGATTGGAATCGAGACCACAACACATAAAGCATATTTTGGAGTAGATTGGATCTAGGATTGCACTGAAGCAACATTGTATGTCACTTTGACACAAAATGGTAAAGGCAAGAAGGACAGGTTGGGTAATAGCACTAGTATTTATTCGCAGGTTTAGAATGTAACCTTGTATTTTCAGAATTTTTAATTGTAACCATTTCATGTACAAAAACGTCACATGTTGTCACACTTAAGTGATCCCTGGAACTTTTACTTTGATTTTTAGTTCTTTACTTATGATGGAAATTATGCTTGCCGATGACTGTAGGTGGAAACAAGGCTCTGGTAGCAAATAATTAACCGGGCCAACTTCTCACTGATTAATTTGCATAACCAGCCTGCTCTTTGCAATGGTATGTTCGTTTTTCGAGTACATGCATGGAGATTTAATTTAATGAATCATTTCTGGAGTGATTGCATCCATGGAAATTTTATTGGATGACTCTTGGTTCATATCACCACAATCAGACCCGTTATTTGGTTGAGTTCAAGTTGTTTTGTTGTGGTTTGAATTTGGATTGTCAAGAGAATAAGTCTTGTTGAAATTGTTGCTGCTGGTAATTGCGCATATTCCATCAGTCTAACCCTCTTCCTTTGATGATAAGTAATTGATGTCAGGGCAATAACTACCTCTGAGCATTCAAAACAGCTACGAGCATTGTCTCTTGCAATTCGCCAAATAACTTTGCTCTCTTAGATCATCCTAAAGGTTGAGAAACTTTGATGATTGAAGGCTAGAAGTCTATAATTTTCTCTAAGACATTTTCTGTTTATAAATTTATCAAAATTTAAAGATCTTTGTTACTCTAAATTTTATAGGATTTAAATACTTGTGTAGCAGTTTCTGTATGTAATTAGGATCAGTTAATTAGATAAATTATAAAAGAAAATCTTATTTTCATCGATCTGAAAAATATAGCTTGAATATGTTTCGTTGAATTGCCATTTGGAACTGGAAAATGAAAATGTTGGTGATAAAAGTAGAACAATTCATAATGAATGAAAACGTCACGCCCTTTCAAAATAATTAAAACGGAAGAGAAAAGAAAAGGAGAAAGAAACTAGAAAAATAGGAATTATCCCAGTTTTGGTACATGGTTGGCCTGAGCCTCGTTCAAAACTCGCTGCCTGCTATAATGATCTTTCGGACAAATCACAAACACAGAACACTACTCTGTGATATGTAAATTTTTCTCGGATGAACAAATAGCATTGCAATAATTGTCACAGTAGTTGTATTAATGAACAAACTACATTAACTATGAGGCAGAAAAAGATGACGATGCAGCATTCCATAGAGGCACAGTAGTTGTATTAATATCCCCGGAACGCAGAGAGGTTGTTGATCCAAAACCAGCTTCGTGATCCACAGTGATCAGATCATCTGAATTTCTGAATGCTCCATGAATTGAAATAACTGTCAAACTTATTAACAGGGCAGCAATGACGTTAACAGTCACGTTGGTGAAAAAGAGCATGACGATTGTGATCGTCAACAAGAAAATCATGGCAACCTTATGTGAGATTACAAGGCCGTAAACCATCAAGGGATTGTCTCGTCGAACATATAGGAATAACCACGCAATCATCATGGCTATAAGGACAATCAAGAAAATTGGGTGCCACAGCAAGCTGAGGAAGAGAAGAAACAAGATGATGGTGATGACATAGTTCAAGCGAAAATACCCAGCATTGGTTTTGATTCTTTGACCGGATTCGGTCAAGGTGGTGGGAAGGCTGAGTGATTATCGAAGTAAATTAATAGAGTAAATACTGTATATATCATTAGTTATTCTTTGTGTATTATAAAATTTCTTGACTAAGAGACTGTGGTTGTATAATTTCTTTCCATGATCTTCTTGTAGCTAGGCTTGATGAGATCCTATCCTTTATGCTTGAAAAAATTTGCAAGTTTGATATTGATGGGTGGGCATCTGTTGGGATGGTTCCGTATGTTGTCATATTTTATTTGAGTAATCTGCACAGAGAGAAAAAGGTTGTTGAGGAAATGCCGAAAAGGAAGGAGGATAAAAGAATGAATGTGTATATACCAAAATGATTAGAGAGACAAACATGCATGTTAAATTTAGCCGAGGAACACCGTTCTGCATCTTGGTGTTAATAGTTCTGAATGATAACGCCATGCTTAGTTTTTCTTTTGAATGACAACGCATGTCCACCTAGCCAAAGTACACACACCGACTAGACTATGAGCTTTTAGTGCCCTTTTTTTAATAATTGCAATGCCATGTTTATCTAGCCAAGCTAGGACATGAGATTTTTATGCTTATTTATTTATTTATTTTTATGGTAAAGACATGTCCATCTAGCCAAGTTGTTTGCTAGCTAGGTACTGAGCTTTTAATGCTTAGTTATTCCTTCTTATGTTAATGCCATGTCTATCTAGTTAAGTCTGTGTACTAATTTGATTAAGTTTTTCATGTTCAATCCTTTTATTTTGATAATTGGTCACCCATTACCAAACCTTATCCATTTTTCCAAATTACACCTTGGCCATATTACAAGCCTTTTCATGTTGAATCATTATCTCCGATTAGTGGTTATCCATGGTCACACTATGTCCATCCAACCAAGCTAAACGTTGGTAAAGCCACGAACTCTTTAATCTCGGTAACTCTTTTCTAAGGGTTGGTTGTTTTTTTGTTGCACAATAACTAGCTAGCCAAGCTGTGCAACTATCCAAATCATGAGTTTTCCATGCTTTATCATCATTTTTTTTAAGGATTGGTTGCCTTTTTCCATCCTTGAATCATTTAGCTAAGCTATTTTGAAAAACTTTTATATATATATATATATAAGTACAAAAAGCAAAAACTCAATATCATCATTGTAATCTAAACACTCAAGAAAAGTTTTTGCCCCCTCGATTGATAGATCAAAAACTTAAGATAGAGCTATTGAGTGCTCAGGAACTACAATCTCTCCATATCCATTGTTCCATATCAAAATAAATGTCCAAGTATTTGCTTAAAAAAATAGTGTTTAAGACACCAACAATTATGAGACTAACCCACAAATGCACTAATCATTCCGAGAATCATATCCGATATGGACCATTATTCTTTGCCAAGCTTGAATTTCCCATAGATATGCATCCTCACTAAGGGGTTACTTTATTGTGAAGCAAGTTCTCTATAGATATTTGACCAATTTCTTAAATAAACCTAATAACCACAAGAAGTGATGACCATGACATGCCTTGACAAGTCAATATACTTTGTGAAAAATTAATTTTTTAATTTTTTTGGAAAATTAATGATGTTAATTTTTTTTTTTTTAAAAAATGAAAACTTACCTTCGATTTTCTCATATTGTTGGCGTTTTAGAGGCTTAGCACTTAGCCTTTGCTTTAGAGAATGTAACTAGTTGAGACCACTTGCTTGACATGTGGTGCTATAATGGCTCAATAAATAATAGCTTATACCACTTAGTGTAGCACTTTTTTTAATCCTATATGAGAAAATAAAGCCACACTTTCACTATCGATTTAAGATTTTGGTACATATGGTATCCAATTAGTTGGTAACTCTTTAGTTAAACATGTTTAGATGAAAGTAATTTAACGATGGGTGATCTTCTAGAACTCATACATGTGACATATATGAAAAGTACATGACAACTCTCCAAGAATATTTATGACTCTATGCTAGCCATCAAATACTAGTACAAGTACGTACCACGATTAATAATAGTGCACCACAATAGTGTCGCACACCACCACCGTCACAATTAATAGTATCGAGTTCCAATAGTAAGAACAAACACCAAAAATGGTGTTCGCTAATAATAATAATACGTCCGTTATGGAAAGCATTGGCGGGTGGTAAAAGACCAACACAAAGGATTAGTAAGTGTAAAGGCATTGAACAAAGTAGCAAACTAGAAGGCGATAGAGCACATGCCATGTTAGAAGACTATAAGGTGGTAAGGCACATGCCATGGAGTAGGCTAGCTGGTGGCACAACATCTACTAAGGCCAAAGACTAGTGTGTGAGAGGACACAAGCCATGATAGAATACTAAAAACTAGTGAGGCACGAAGTTATGGAAAAATTTTGGTAGTTAGAACGATGCCAACCATGGCCAATAACTTATAAGCGGTAGCACACTTGTTATGGTATAAAACTAGAATGTAGTAAGACACGTACCATGGAAGAAGACTCGTAAGTCGCATGTTGCTTACCATGTCCTAAGACGCATAAGTGGCAATGCGTGTGACATGACAAAAGACTAGCATAAAGTATAAATAATAATTAAAAAAAAGTGGCAAACAAAAAACTAACATATAGCAAAAAAATAATAAAAAATAATGACAAGGCTAATTTTAGTGTGGCTAGGTAAGGACAAAATGGTCGGCAAGATCAAATTAGTGTGGCTGGATATGGAGCAAAATGGATTGACAAGGCTAAATTGGTGTAGTTATGCAAGGACTAAATTAGATTGTTAAGATCAAATTGGTGTAGCTAGGCAAGGACCAAAATAAAGTTATCGATCCAAATTAATATGGCTTTTCAAATATGCATTCTTATACATATTTGAAGGCGTTGTCATCATATTTGTTATGGTCTTTTCCTTACGATATTGAAAATAACATTTTACGTCAATGTCACTCAAATAACGCCCAAAGCTTAATGATCCAACATAACCCATCAGCATATTTCATCTCCTTCGGGTTCTCCCTTGATAGGGGATCGAGTAGCTTTTTTTTGGTATATATAATCTTCAATTTACATCTCTCGGAACTCGAAGTCTTTATCATCGGACTTGTTAATCTTGACTTTTCTTTCTTCTCGCCATTGTTCCTCCTTATTCCATAAATCTAAGGCTCGATACCGATTGTTAAGAAATGAATCAAGCAAAAGAATAGAGTAGAAAGATAAAAACAATCACATAATATAAAGATTTATGTAGTTCATTAATTATCTCTACTCTACGACCGCACTAGGATTTCTTATTAGGTTTTATTAAGTGATGACTTATAAATACAAGTAATGTTGCCTCTATATATAGTGTGAACAAATAGAATTAAAAAAAAAAAAAGCCTAACAAGTGTATATAGAACCTATACAACTAGCTCAATATTCCGTTCATCTTTAAATGATTATATCTAGTTTTATGACACCATTTGTCAAATTAACCCACATTTACTCGATATAGAGAAAGGATATATCTAGGGTCTTTGGTTGTAATACTCATCAAACCCCCTAATTATGTCCATACAAAGGTCAAAATCCTTTGGCATGCACCTTTCCAACGGTGGCCTTTATGGAAAATAATTATTATAGGTACATGTGAGTGGAAAATATTATATTTGGTAACCCAACTATCTAGAAGCATATTACGGACTATAGCCCTCAATCGAACACTAAATGTTTCTAGCTATTGAATTAATCATGCACGAGAAGTAAAATTCTCTTATTATCAAGGCACTCTTTTAAATTGACCTTTGAATTCAAGATCATCTACTAAGGAAGGATTTTGGATGAGATCGGTGAGCTTCTTCATAGCCCATTAGGGATCATAGTGAGCGTGTCTAAAAAGGCAATGAACCTCTAGAGCTTTATCTTTTTAACTATATAAAACTTGAACGTAATCCTTTATAGATTATTGTTAGACACTAGATTCCGTAAGAAAATTAAAGTATTGCTTAGTTCTTTGTCCATACTAATCAAGGTCCTCCAATTGCTCAATTCTAGAAAATAAGCAATCAACCATAATTTCAAAATCCATAGAAGGCCATCCGTAGTTCCCTTAATGCTTGAATCATTGTTCCTTCGATTGAGCTTTTTCAAGGCTCCTATATAACCCTAGCAAGATGAAGGCTTCCATGGCTATAGGTACTCCATAAGTAAGAAGTTCTACAAATTTGGTAAAAACATTTATCATTTTACTCAATGTGGACATCCGAATATTTGCATATCCACATGACTAGAATGGCTACATGTTCGCATTCATCCTCCTCCTCTATATGTTTTTGCTCAATTCTTGTTAATCTATTATATTCATGATGAGGGACTAAGCTAATATTTGACTTCTTTTCCATGAAGGTTCACACCAACAATCATCTCCAAATCTAGTAAACTAGCGATCACCATTCCATATCAAAATTTAAATATATTGCTAGACTTTGTCTAAAAAATCAAATGACCTCGAGCAATGGATGGTTTGCACCAACGGAGGTTCTAAGATGGCAATTTGTCCCATCCCAATGGAGTCTCACCCTGGTCAAAGCAAGGATTCGCCGAGTTGATCGGGGAACGGATCGAGTGCCTTGCTCGTGTTAATTTTGAATGAGGATAGGACGAGGATGGTATTTGTCCGCCCCGACCTATTTGCCCCGCTCCATCCCTAAAATTATAATTATACTCTATATGAAATATACAACTACGGACTTTTAGGATTTATTTTTTATATGAACTATCATTTTTTTGCTATAGTTTGAAATTTGATAGTAAAATGAAACAAGACAGGACGAGATGAAAAAAATAAAACAGGGCATCAATGCCCCACGAGGATCCTTGTCTCCGTTTGGAGTGGAGATGGTATGAGAAATATTGCCCTACGTAGACACGAGGTGGGGACGGAGCAAAATTTTCAAGCCATCCTCGCCCCACCCTATTGCCATTCCTAGGAGGTTCTCGTGGCTTGAAAAAGATCAAAGATACCACTTTTGATCCACACGTGATCGTATTTATTAAACACTCGTCCATCCATTTGAAGATGGCACTATTTCCAACGCACCATGAACAAATAACTCCTTTATTGGTCAAGAATCATATGTCTATCCCTTTTCCTAAGATCATTAACCGATTGATTTCTTTAATAAGAGAGATGAGGGGTTTAGAAGAGTCTAGAGTTTTCAATTAGTGAGGACCCAAGAACAATCCTCTAGAAATTTCGCCAAAATATCCAAATAGGCACTCGGGTTGTTGTATGATTATTGTCTCTATTTGTTATTTTAAGGTTTCCTTTTGGCAAATGCAAAAAGCCATCTTGAAATTGATGTCTTGTAAGGCAATCGAGAAAATTTGATTTTTAGAGATTTAAGAAGGATTTTCATTGTTGAAAGAAGTAGAAGTTGAATTTGAAAAGTTTGTGAAAGTGATAGTTTCTTTCTTCCTTTTCAAATCAAATAACTATAAAGGTGCCATAATCCGGGGTTACTAACAAGCAATGAGATCAAAATTGGCTCTTGGTGTGAAATTTTTGCTTAGGCTCTATTTGTTTAATGGAAAACAACTTTCAATTATAAAAGCAATTCTAGAGAAACTATTTTTCATAAAGTTATTTTCGAAAAAAATATTTTCCGACGTTTGACAATCATCCGAAAAAACTACTGAAAAATATATTTAAGCGTTTGTTTGATACGGAAAATTAAAATATAAAAATAGGTTATGATTAGTACATTAATGAGTTTTGAAAAAAATTTAACAATGTATATTCACAATCTCGGAACATAAGATGCATTTAAAAAATTGTAATAAACTTTTATAAATGCCGACTCTAAAATTTAAATTCAAAAAATCAAAAAATAAAATATACATTTTTAACCATCAAACCAATTCATCAAAACTATTTGGGATCAAATCAAGTCAATATTCATATTTCATAAAAAAAAAAAAAAAAACAATTCTAAGTAATCCTAGTATTGTTATTTTGATAACTCAATTAAGAATTTTTTTTACAAAAAAAATTAAACTAATAATTTAGTCTAAAAAATAGTTTTATAAATTATTAGTCGTTATTTATAGATAATTACTCATTTATTTCAAAAGATTAATGTTGGAATAATATGTAACTAATTATTGATTATAATTAGCAATAAAAGTTTAAAACTAATAAAAATTAGTCACAAATTATTAATATAGCTGTAAATAAATAGTATTGAAAAAATATTTATTTATTAATAAATTAATTAGTTTTAGTTTTTTCATAAATGATTGTAGTCTTGTAATAATCATTTTTCATCATTTATGTGTAATTTAGGTGGTCTTTGGGATAATGGTTAAAAAAATAAAGATAAATCATTAAAATATTTATTATAAAAATAATTTTAAGGTATAAAAATGATTTTTAAGAATATTTAATGTATTTATAAATCAAAAAATCAAATGTTAGTAGAAATAGAGAAAAATAATTAAATAATTAATAATAATTGATAAGAAATAATTAAAAATTAATTTGATACATTTTAAATTAAAAAGAGATAAAGAAAAATATTATTAAAATATATTGAGAGAGAGAGGCAAGTGACGTGAGAGTGAGATGGCTTGTGAGAGAGAGAGAAAATATTTCTCTCTTTTTTAACTTGAAAAACACTTTTCAAAAATTGCCAATCAAATTCCGTTAACTGAAAATCAAATTCCTTTGATTTTTTTCCCTAAACGAGAAACAAATATTGAAAAATAAAAAAAATGAGGAAAACAAGTTCTTGAAACTTATTTTTCCTAAAACAAATGCAGCCATAATTTTAAACAAAATTATAAACATTCATTTTATTCTCTCCTTAGAGATTCTAAAGAAACAAACGACCATAGTTGATGTCCAAAATAAACATTACAAACCATGAACACATGTGTATTCTAGATTATTCTAGAACATTTTACAAGCTCTTCAACTTAGGATTTTTTTTTCCTTCTAATTATGTCTTCACAAAGGATTTGAAGTCATATTCTATTTGGCGTATTTGTTTGCTTTTTTAGTTTAAACATCAATCTTTGTTATGATTAATTTTTATCCTAGTTAAAACTCGACTACTAACTCGTTGTTGTTTTTTTTTTTTTTTTGAGTTTTAGAGTAGTATATATAAAAGAAATATATTTATTGTGTTATGAAATAATGAATGTTCATATGAATATTCATATATTTTTCATATCCCGCTACTTATAATTCTTAAAATAATTCAATTCATCATTCAATATGAGAAATTAAAAGGGTGATACAATTGATTCAACAATTTATGTACTTTTAATTACTCATAGTCACTTA